TTTCGACACAAAAACAGCATTGCATTATTAACTGTATATGCATATGTAAAATATCAAAAGGTGTGGTTGCTAATATAATTGTTTCTAGAAATACTTATATTAACATAACTTATTGAAGACTATACAGAAAGGAAAATCAGTGAATTAGTTAAACGTTCGCTGCGTAAGTAGTAGAGTCGAGTTGTATGTAACTGACTAAGCTGAAGACTGGACCGGCTTTCATTTACCATTTAACCGACAGTTGTGGTCTTTTAGACAAGCTAGGGTGAACATGTTAATGTGTCTTTCTGGGTTCCGTTTGAACCCATCGGGGTTTTCACAAAATATAATTTCAGATAGTAGTTGGTTCCAAAGAGTCTTCAAACAAATCCAAAATAAAACTTCTTTAATTATATTTACACTGAAGACAGAATGTTGATGAACTGTAAGATTTATTGTCCTACTTGAATGAGGTATCAGATAGACAAGGAGCAAACCTTCAGATGTCAGGTTTTCCGGCGTCCAAATAGCAGAAATACAGTCCCTGAAAACGAAATGATGCGAAGTTAGCTAAAGTGTGCCTTCGAACAGGAAGTGTGCAGCAGTCCAGTAAACCAAATGGTGGTCTAATTAACACAAAGTGCAAAATGGCACACTAAAGTACAACTTTAGGTTTGAAGGTGCGGTACTAGACGTGGCATGCAGTGTAAGGAGAACCGCCAATGCCTTTTACAAAACTGGCAAATGTCTTAGAAGCACGATAATCAGAATGAAGCACAGAACGCCTCCCCAAGAACTACGGGAAGGCACTCTACAAGTTAGGAATTCCAGGGAAGGGATCGGTTCAAATCCCATACCTGACCGTCGAAAACAGTACCAAAGTGTGTGGAAATAGGAGAATGTCCCAGACAAACCTATACAGGAAACAACAGGCCTACCCCGAAAATCCGTAACAAGTCATGACCCAAAGAGCAATTATTAGCCAGGGTGTACATGCAGTTTGAGAGAAGACAAGAGATTTACTGAGCAATCTACATGTAACCTTGGCATTTGTTGACCCGTTATAGGTGCAGCTGTACAACAATGATGCGAATGACACTGGTACACCTTAAAAACACACCGCTCAGTCAGACGTCATGAAGTTTACTCCTTCTACTTGTAGATACGCATGAATTTTCAACACTAGGTATCCTAAAAGCAAAATTAAAGTAACTAACGTACAGCTTCAATAATGCCTGTCCACGTCGGCCTGCCATTTAAAAGATTTTAGATACTAACTAGTCAGTTATATGATAACTCCTTTAAATGAGGGACAATTATACGCGCAAAAAGTAGGATAATGCGGTAGTGCGTGTGTACAATACACCATCCCTAAGTGCACTTCTTCTTTGTAGTAAGAAAAGAGTTGAGAAGCCAAATAAGAACAATAGTCTAACTGTTCAAAATACGAAATGTATTTCTGGATAAGCGGTGTCCGGTAGTGACTTGTACTGCACTAAGAGTGGCACACGAACAACCAAATGCAACACAGCCGAGTGCTTAATAGCACAAACGCTCGACTTTACATCTACAGAATAACCAACATGCTTAAGAAGTGAATAATGAGATATCCAGGCTAATAATCATAAGGAGTTAGACAAACAGCCGAGTCAAGCCGAGTATGACACTGACTCTCAAGTAATTAACCTTCGCCACTGAACGAGCAAGCCAAAAGACACTTTCGATTTCAATAGGCTGTGAAATTAGAGTCTATAAAGTAAGTCTCCGTGTAAAACAAAAATACTCTCTAATTTGAACCTAGCATCGATACTGCATCGCCAATGGGATAATTGTTCGGATCCCAAATACAGTCTCTTAGTTGATCATGAAAACTAAAACTTTTCTCCTCTGTCTTTTTTTGCTTGTTAATTGTTTCGCCGTCGTGATCATGAATATTATAATTAAAATGTTGAGTTCACGATACTTTTTCTGGATTGTTTTTAGATAAAGCAATAAGAAGACGTAATTTGTCTGAATCGTGTAATGTATTTGCGCAACACATTTCAAACAATCTGATCACACGCGGACCTGTCACGGGAATATATATGAAATTAATAAACAGGTAAGAGGTGAGAAAATAGACTCAGGTCAAGTTAAAAGGACATATTCAAGGTCAAAGTAACAATGAAGACCACTAAACCAAATAGCAGAAGTAATAGTACATCTGCTACGGTATCAAAACAAAATTTACCAAGGAAGGTTTAATGTGATAACGAATTGTTTTTGAACGCATAAAGGTGATTGAAACTTCCTAATTGCAAGCTAGGGCTTCCAGAAACTTTAGGATACGCCCCAAACACGTTTTATAGATAGGTTTAAAAGATCTGTTAACGTCAATTTTATGTCCTGTCTCTATAATATGTTTCGCAATAGAAGAGTTGGGTCTCCTGTTTTCACCATTAGTATATTACTTTCATTTCATTAGTGAGCAACAAGGAACTCTGGCAAATAATAAAATTTCCAAGAACTCGTAGCTTACAAATTTCTAGAAGGAAATGAAGACAGATTGGAAGGACACCAGGAAAATCTTCGGATAGTATAAGACGTCAACCTAGTGATGAAGTGGAACCCTGATTGATAAGAGGTCTATTGAATGACATGGAAAAGGTCATCTGAAAAGGAAGTGAAAGCTTTTTGACAATCGTGTACCTGGTTTGAAATCTTGGCAGAGAACAGAGTGGGGTGTGAATATGCCGCTGCACTTCCCTGAACGTGGAGAATGAAGAATAATGGTACCTTCTCTTCAGGATGCCGTAAATTTCCTATCCTAATTGTAGTCGTGTACTCACAGCCATCATTAATCCGTCCGTTAAAAAAATCACTTTGACTTTTTCATTTTACCAGGGCCCCGAAAACGCTAATGAAATATTGATGCAGAAAGACAGTAGTGAGAGTAACTACACAGAATCCCACCAAAGATAAGGATCTTGCTTATGATGAAGAGAACAGAGCAAAGATTCTAGTTATTGTTCCATTTGTCCCGAGTGGAACATAGGCCTCCAACAACACATCTCCACATTGTTGTATTTCATACTGTCCTCCTCACATGGCAAGACCCACGATTGAACTTGCCTGACTTACTACTGTCTCTGATTTCGCCATGTTTTTATTCGTACATTGCAATGTACCACCGGGTCCTGAAACTTATGCCTCTGATTCCTTCCTAATCATTACTGTTCCATACTTCCACCTTCTTTATGCGTTCATTCACTCATTTCCATTCTTAATAATGCTTTCCTTTATGTTCGCGCCCTCTCCAAATTTTTCTTCAAAATTACGCACTTCCAAACAATAGCTTTATGTCATACTCTCCGATTTCGCCAAGCGACAAACGAGTAACGAGTAACACTGAACGATGCTGCCCCACTGTATTTACCAACTACCCATACAACTACTAACATTAGGGCATGTGACTAGCAGGGCAAACCAAGTGGAAGACCTTTAAAGATTCTGAAGTGTTACTTTACAGTTGGAATAGGTATCGAAAGAACTTCGTTAATATTGGCTTTTGAAAAGGCATATTAGATGTTGGTTAATGAATGACTTAATTTTAGCATACCGTATACTTAAGGGTGATTTAGGAACTGACCTTTCTAAACTTTTCTCTCCTTCTAGGATACATTTACGGGGTCACCGCAGAAAGGTGTTCAAACCGAGGACGATTAAAATACGTGCGGAATTTAGATTCTCTCACAGAGTGGTCAACGACTGGAACTCCTTACCTGATTCAGTAGTAACAGCTCCATCGGTGAACGCTCTCAAAGAGAAGTTAGATCTCTGCAGAGATATATTTTTCAAGGATTAACACAGGCCACAAGAGCCTTCTATCCTTATCAACTGAATCTGAATAGCTCACTCAAAACGCGCCACATTTGTTGTTTGAAGGTCATCTGGTTCGTTCAGTTTTCGTTTTCCGCGTTTGTCTTTCATTTTAAATTCTAATTCTGACTTTAGGATGACCGAATTTCATACACTTTTCACGTGCCACTTTTTAACAACACCCTATGAAGCAAAGAGTAGTTAGGTCTAGACAAAATAGGACTCTTTGGTGTCGTTAAATACTAAAATAAGCACTAAAGAAATACATCCCTTACATTATTTTGTATGACTAGACTACTGTTGGAAACTCTGGTTAAAGACGTGTAGTCCCTATCTTTATCCCACTGGAAAATAACATTCTTCTACCAATTCTTATGTTCCACAGCATTCCAAAATTTTCATCCTTTTGTCTTTCATTTCTTTCTGTGGATTGCTGTACATTAAAGATGGTTTATACGGTTGTCAAGACGTTACAAATTGGCTTTCAATCTCTAAAAAACCTATTTGCATAATAATCAGTGTAACTACTTCATAGGCATAGAAATGCCTAACTAAATGTGTATAGATAGGTTTTTGAATTTCTGAATAGTCTACCTGTTTTCTTGGTATTTGTTCTTGCTCAGATTGCATCAGATATTTTGTCTGAAATAATTTGTTTAACTTAATCAGAGTAATATCTATGCGTTAAGAAATTAAGCTGTTTTAATTCACCGAATTAGTTTGTATCACTATTCTACACTGTGAATGTGTTGCTGTACCCACAACAATAGTCGCATGTCTCATTTTAAAAATCGGATAAAGATTACTCGTAGTGATGAAAGTGCGTTAGTTCTCTGTGGCACTAATAGTTACTACATTTCTTCAGAAATACTAAGATTATCATCAAGCTATCTGTTAATGAAACTAATCACTGGGGCATCGTTCACCTGTTGATGAAGTACTCATGTTGTTTTCGTTGACTAATTTTATAACGGATATTGTATTCAGATCGAAATCAATGGAAAAGTTCAAAGATTTTTTTATTACTCCTTTTCGATCTGTTCTTTTTCGCTTTAATTCCTACAGTTTTGCACCTGAAAGTGTACATGCATACTTTTCAATTAGTTTTTCACATGTCCAGTTTATGTGGTCTTTTTTGTTGTTGTTGTTTTTGCGAATTTCAGGTTTATTCTCGTGGAATGGTATCTCTAAGTGACATTTTATTGCCATGGGATCACACACAACATAGTAATAGCTTATTTTTAACATTCAAGAATGCAGATGGATGTATTGTATGTTAATTTTGTTTTTAGATAAATCAATGTAACTCCATTTCTACTTATAAGGTTCATGTACCAGTTACTACATCGAATATTAATGGTTTAAGAAACAGTTCAGAATCATTGGTTATAGATCAACTCAATCAACTAATGAATGAAGAGTTTGATCCTACAGGTATTTCTTTTTCTACTTAGCTTATTTATTGAATTCCTATTTTATATACAGTTCAGGAACATGGTCCACATTTGTATCCTGGATCAACATTTTTCCTTGATAGTAATCCCCGAGTGAGTTATCATTTAGCTATGATAAACTTTTTGTGTGTGTGTATGCAATATTTATTGTTTAAAACACGGAGTATTTCTTATATTTAGACAAAATGACTTCAAATTATTTCAAACGGAATTAATACCTCTTACTTTGGAATAAAATTAAGCTGTTTTACAAATGACATGTAATTACTGTTTGGGAATAAACAGTATTACTATAAACGGGTGCCGTATCACCTCTTATGGTCAGCAGACAGGAGAACTGTGGATGGCTGGTGTATGTCATTGATTGCTGATGGCTAACGGAATCTTTGCAAATAATGAAAAGTTATTGATAAAAAGGAAGAAATAAAAAACATCAAAATGTAAACAAAATTATGATAGGAACATAATTCTTGTCAAGCAAGGGAAATAAGTGTACTTTTTACTTTTGGAGACAACAACTAAGTTTAAAGTCTTAGATTGCCAGTGATTCCAATGTGTATGAGTGATGCGTTTGCAGTCCCTCTTATTAAGATAGTGTGAGATTTTGAAGGTCAGTACGAAGCGTAGAATTGGCAAAATGCTGATATTCTTCTTCTATCACCCAATTATCCAAACAAGAACATCGTTGCGAAATACGCTAGGGGATTTGGTGCTGTGTACGGCTGATGTATTTTACTCTATAGAAAGAAGTGGACTAGTAAATGCACATTGTGGTGAACGACAATTGGTTTTCAGTCTTTAACGTATTAATATACTAATTTACCTAAAATTCTCGCATATTTGGATTGTCTTTCACTGCTCTTCTTTCTATATGTTGTTTAGATGAATGTAAAATTCTCTACCACTTCATTTGTATTCTGGGATAATTAGGTTTCTAAATACTTTCATAGTCAGATGTTTCTTAGGTAAATTGGGGATTGTTTTAAATTCCACATCACAAGTATAGAAAGAAAATGAATACTACGACTTGAACGAGAAATTCGTGCTTGGTGAAAGTTAGAATTCGTGGGTCACTGGATGTCATCTTATTTGCTGAACGGTCCAACAAACTAGCCTCATCATTTAGAGATCTTGGGTTCGATCCCCGGTGGGGTGGTAAAGGATGCATGTACTGCTGAAACAAGTCCCAAACTTACGAAGCAACTGTTCCCTAGTCTCCAGTGGTTGGTTCTCCAACTGATGTCAATTGATTTTTTTTAACGTGAAATCATCAAATATGTGTGTTTATACCAGTAGTAGTCTCGTGCTAATTTGTGTTAAATACATGATGACCTGTACTCATAAAAATAGTCACTATCATGTCTGAAGTAACACAACATGATAAGTGGTAATCACTGCATAGCTATTCTTTGAATAACTCCTTTGCATATAATAGTGTCTCTTTTCTATGATATTATTGTTCATAATACTATTTAGTAGAAATTTACTCATTTTTGTATTTATCTATCTGTATCAGTAATTGCTCTATCTTAATTGTAGCCTCGTAGAAAAGTCAATATGCAAAGTCAATTAATTAGTGATATGGTTTCATTTGAAAAAGAGAAATCTCCAGAAAATGAAGAGAATACAGTAGATTTAACAACACAATCAAGCGGTGAATTTGTTGACTTAATTGAACTAGAAAAACTATCCAATATGTTTTTTAACAGACGCGTTGAAATGAGTAAGTCTTCCTGGTATATATATATATATATAGCTGACGAAATCTCAGCATGGAGGCAAAAGACTCGTTTAACATTTGCTAACTTACGCCATATCTGGCTTAGTAGACGCGATATCCGACTGCTGACTAAATGACGTGTGTACTGCTCGGCAGTTTGCTCTGTCATCCTATATAGCTATAACTGAGACATGGCTATTGAAAGTGGAAGACATGAAAAGCCTGGCTAGCTTTCTTTGATCTTAGGTGCCTGCGTTCTATCTCCCGTGTTAAGTTGTATACCAGGTTGGGCAATATTGAGATGAGGCATCGGTTGAGTGCTAGATAAGGAGGGGGAGTCAATCGACGAGGTGGTTGTGAATTTACATCAATTGACATAGCTAGGAGATGTGTTACTCATGTCTAGCCATCGATTGCCTTCCTCGAGGTGCATCGTTAACTGACATAGGAGTATGTTGGAAAATAGTTAGTGGTGGTCAAACGAAAACATGGCATCAATCGATGAAATGCATAACTGTGAGTAGTTTAAGCCAATGAAACTGAAACTAACTGAAATCTACAACAGTTAGTCTAAGCCACGTAGGAAGGTGTAGACTTCCTGGTTGGGGTCCTGGGGACGGTAAAAACCAATGGTTGGAAACACTTGGTGACATGGCTCAAAATCGTTCTCAGTGATGAGCAGATGCATTCACTCTTTGTGATTTATCATATCCAATAAAATTATACTGTTCTTCCATATTACTATTCTTTTGCCTCATATTTCTGTTTATCATCTCTCTTTTAAGTCTTTCTTTACTCTCTTCTCTTGCTTTGTGTGCTATATTGAGGAAGTGGGGCAACTTGAACTGCTGTACATCTGTGGGAAGTTCTACGCTAGAACCAGTCAGTATATAAATATATATACTGCTCCCCTATTTGATTATTTTGTAACTGACCTTTTAAACGAAACATTAATCATGTCTTGTTTGTAATTTGTCGTTATCCGGTAATCTTTGTTACTCTACACTTACAGATAATGATACTCAGTAGACTGTACACGTAGATTATGCGATTTTCATTACTCTTCTTCACGGTGTATTTGATATACATGTATATATTTTCCACTGGACATTTGTTTGCTACAGTTAGTTTATGTAGCTATACAGCAGAGGTATTCGCTTTCCAACTGGATCTGTGTAACAATGGTAACACAGCTTAAATTTAAAGGTTATGCCTCTTATTTTACACTTATCCATCAAGATGAAAGAACTTCATAACTTCATTAAAAGATGTTTACACGCAAAGCAAATTACCGGCGAAAAGTTATCCTCGTAAACCACGTAATCACACGACTTCGAAACTTGAGTTTTATAGTTTTCTTTGTTCTCTCCTATTTGTCGTCATTGGGGTAGTAGAATTTTCCAGATGTCTGTAACAGATGTTGAATCATTCCTATTGAACATGTTTGCAGTTGATTCGATAAACAAAGCTTCTGTTATTGATCTCTCCCTCCATCCTGTTACATTAGATTCTAAAACTGTCATCTTATCTCATCCAGCCTATTGTATGGTTGTGTGTAACCGCATGTGGTGTAGTGCTATAGCTGAACTATTCTCCGGATTTCTTATCTTATTCGGGCCGAGCATAAAAACCTAGCAAAATCTAGATTAGTTGACGCGAATAAGATAAGAAATCTAGAGAATAGTTCAGCTATAGCACTACACCACATGCGGTTACACACAACCATGCAATATAATGGGGGATAAAATGACAGTTTTGAAATCTAATACAAATAACAGGGTGGAGGGAGAAATTGATAACGGAAGCCTTGTTTATCGAATCAACTGAAGAGAGTACGTGTAATAGGAGTGATTCAACACATGTTCATCCAGAAATCTGGAAAGTTCTACTACCCCTACGAAGTTTAGGATGGAATAAAGGGAAAAAATATAAAGACGGAAGTTTCGAAGTTGTGTGATTGAATTGACGATATGATTATGAACAATAAATAAATTTTGTTCGAAACGTCACCCAGTAAATAATACTGTTTCACTGTGTGATACACCTAATAAACAAACTAATATGGAATTACTTACTACCACAGTGCCCAAGTTTTTTTTATTCCTTCACGTTCCCAGTGGAACATAGGGCTTCAGGCTAGGGGCTTGAAGTTTCTGTAGAAGTGGTGTTTATTTTTACAGGATGGGGTTGCTAGCCTCATGCCCAACCTTTCCTCTTCACCAAATTTAGTTCTGGCTTATCAAGGTAAAGGGGTGCGCCGGCCGGGGATCGAACCCCGGACCATGTGAATGGTCGGTGAGCGTCCTAACCGCTATGCCACCGACGCACACGCTCAAGTTTTACACATGTACACATGTACTAAAACCATTTGGATTAAATATCCCATACAAACTAATACAGTCACTTCAATACTTCATTCAATAAAATGCAGATCAAATTGGCGCAACAATGAAAGAAGACAAAATCAACACCATGTGCTCAAAGTGAATTGAATCGATTGGGAAAAACACTCTGTTGGTCAAAGCAGGCACCACCTTGGACTTCGAATCCAAGAACATCAACTAGGCATCAAAAGATACGACACGTATCTCTGCATATGAATATATGTAGACAACTGTGGACATCAATTTGTCTGGAAAAAAAGTGAGGATTTTAAACACCTGAGATACTGAAAATTCCAGAGGATTCTTAAACACCTGGTACTCAGATTAATCCTGATTCAAAAGACATATTGACATCGATCAAATTTACTAATCGATAAAGAACAAGTTTCATTTCAAAAATGGTAAATATATCAGGTCAATGAAACAATGCATACCAATACAGTCTAAAAACGATGATAACGGAACCCCCAAAGACGACAACCAATCACAGTGAAGGTGATCTGGAGAGACATTTATATCATTCACTGATAAATTCAAAATACTCACCACACACACACACTGAAGATTTTGCCTAGAAGAGAAATGAAAGTTTCCCAGTTAAACCGTCCAGTTGAGAAAAAACACACAACTACATCATAAATCTCCATCTGGACTACAAATCTCCTCTCAATCACATTCACCTGGATCCATGACTGCCTAAAAGCATTCATTCCCTCTTCACATGATCCTCTGTATGTCATCGTCGGACACGCAATTCATCGCTTCCAATCCAGAATAGATTCAAGGGTTTCGTATATGTGATGCCACTCACCGCTGGTCAACTCAGAGTATATCAAGTGTGTGGTGCCTTGCGTCAAGTCTCTGAACTACATCCCGGTCGACAACTGCTACCTTGTCGTGGTAGTTGGGCTTGAATGCTGCAGTGACCCAACAAGCTAAACTGGCTTGGACTCATGTTCCTGCAGGTCCTACCATGTCAGGAAGGTTGTTTGGATAGCGGTTAGACTGAAAGCAGTTACCATGGGGGTAACATGGGCTCCAGAATCCAATCGGATCAAATGGCGTATGGACCTGTATTAGTCACCGGCAACCATGGGAACGCATGTCCTGATGCTGCTCCTCTGCCTTGCTGATTAGAGTCCAAGTCAAAGGCTCGTAGGGTGGTCCCTTAAGACAACCACCCGCTTCGGTCTGGGCACCCGAACAGTATCTCAGCCCTCACACAATCAATAAAATGTTGTGTGGGATTAGTACACTAATTAACAAACCAATTTTCTTTTATAAATGCACAGAGACAAGTTTCAACTTTTTTTTTTCAAAATAAAAATTAGGCGTTATGCTATTTTTATACTCTTAGCATGCTATTTCTGTTTTCTTTTAGATCTTTCTCAAACTGATGTAGCACAATCACTTGCAAAACTTTACGGAGTGCATCGTAGTGTATCTTTAGTTTCAAGATTTGAAAGAATGGATTTAAGTTTAAGCAATTACTTGAAAGTTTATCCAGTACTGCTAAGATGGTTAAAGGATACTGAAACTGCTGAAGGACGCGATGTAATTATTCGAGCTGTTGTCGATTCTTATAATGAAAATCAAAATAGTAACAATGATAATGATGGCAGTGGTAGTGGTGGTGATGGTGGGGGTTCAGACAACCATGAGACGACGACGACAGTGAATACTAAGGACAATTCTTCTTCTCTGGTTTGTTGATTATATCTTACCTATTATTTATTTATTTATTTTTTGCTTCATTCTTTTTGAACAATACGAAACTATGTGTGGTAATATTGATTTGTAGGATTGTTATATATGTCCAAACCAAGTTCATCACTTTTAACAGTTTGAAAAAATGTGGGCATTGGGTATATGATATTCATTATAATAAAGGTTTATTTTGTATTTCCCAATGAACGAATGAAAAACAAAACGATATTGTTGTGTTTTACTGACGTTTCGCTATTTAATGTTAATAGCTTTATCAAAGCAGTATTATTAAACCGGAATTTACAAAATCTCAGCATATGTATAACAGAGTTAATGGGTGAGAAAATAGACTCCTTAGGTCAAGTTAAATTAAAAGGACATATTGAAAGTCAAAATAACAATGAACATCACCAAACCAAATGACAAAGATAATAGTACCTCTGTTATGATATCAAAACAAAGTTTACTAACTTGATCATCGTTCGTTAGTATGGGGTCATTTTTGTTGTCAAGTTGGTCAATTGGTAAAGATAACAAAACCAAGTGTAGATAGTTGGATCTGATCAGTGTGTAAAATTATAAAAGCAGTGTGTATTTACATAATGAAATGGCTTATCAGTCACATTCTTGTTGATTTTGTCACTTCATGGGGGAGGGAGGTATTGTGACCAGGTCAAATTCTGTTTTAGTCCATCATTCCTATTCAGACAATTTGGATTCCACTTGATATGAAGTGCTTCTGATGATATTAGACGTTCTTTATGATTTCGGAAGTTTTTCTGGATCAACACGAATGTGATATGCAAGTTCACTATGTAAACACACGCTGCTTTTATAATTTTAAACACTGATCAAATCCAACAATCTACACTTGATTTTGTTATCTTTACCAATTGACCAACTTGACAACGAAAAATGACCCCAGACTAACGAACGATGATCAAGTTAGTAAACTTTGTTTTGATATCATAACAGATGTACTATTGTAACAACAGAAGACAAGGGCCAGGCAACAGATCGTTTATTAAGGAAATCAAAGCATATTTATATATTTTCATGTACATTATTATAGTTTAGTAAGCAAACAAACACAGTCTTCTGATTGGTTGTTTCTCACTTAAAGTCAATCTTCCATCTCTTTGTGACTGTTTCTTGAATGTCAGATCATCTATATGTTAGCTGTATCCGCTACGCAAAGTCTGCTGTGGTTGGTTTTGATCAGTCTTTTTTCTTGAGAGTAATTGATAAATTACTCTACCAATTGGCTAGTAGACAGCTCTCACCACACTATTACCTTTGTTATTTGGTTTAGTGATCTTCATTGTTATTTTGACTTTCAATATGTCCTTTTAACTTGACCTAAGGAGTCTATTTTCTCACCCCTTAACTCTTTGTTATATATATGCTGAGATTTTGTAAATTCCGGTTCAATAATACTGCTTTGATAAAGCTATTAGCATTAAATAGCGAAACGTCAGTAAAACACGACAATATCGTTTTGTTTTTCATTCATTGGGAAATACAAAAACCTTTATTGTAGGATTGTTAGTTAATTCACGATAAACTGGACTGATTTGTCTACTAGATTCCAAGCCAATTATAAACAACAATGACCTTGAATCCTCGACCAATCGTATGATTTAAGGAAAGTTGAGCTAATCATGAATGCTATTCATCCCGGATGGTTCAATCATTAGCAGAATACTAGCCAACCAACAGCGGTAGGGGGGGGGCTTCATTCTTGGAAGATGTGTACTGCTTAAGCCACGCCTAGTTTTAAGCAGGCGGTGGTAACATTTGAAGAGAGCGAAGGTTGGCTATATGACGCCAGTGAATTCACCTTGTATAAAAAACAACAACAACAATGCTGAAACTTCAAAATCTAAAGCCATATGTGTTCCGCTTGGAACGCAAGAAATGGTGGATTCAAGGTTATTTGTGTGAGGGTCTCATAGTTTAAATTCACCAATCGGTGAATACTCATTTCTAGTCAATTAATCAAGAGATATCTATGTTATGGCCTTTGAAAATATGGTGTGTGTGTGTGTGTGTTTGAAGTCATGTAAATGGACAGAAAAATGGACGTAGAGGTCTGTTAGAGAATGTCATTCAATGCTGTGACTTACTTACGCTTGATCCTTTTGCAAAGTAATCACGCGCAGACAAAATATTGTTCATCTAGGACACTCGCTGAGGAGGCCACTGGGTGACATCGCGCGTCAGGCCAGTGCTCGAGTGGAACCCGAAAGGGAAGCGGCGAGTGGGACGTCGGTGCAAGGGTGACATGGAGGAGATCGTGTGAAGAGGAGCTGAAACAGTATGGACTAACATGGATGCAGGTGAAAAGTACAGCAGAAGACAGAAGCAAGTGGAGGCGTGTAGTTGAAGCCCTATGTTCCACTAGGAACCCAAGGGAACAATAATAATAATAACAGTAGGAAAGCAGTGACTGTGTTGTATGCGTAACGCGATTCCCCAACAGTTTCAATCTGTTAATTTTCAAAACTTCCCACATCGATATACTTTCTGTTTCTACTCAATCTTATCATATAATGTATTCTTAGTCTTAAAGTAGACCAAGGCAAATGGTTACTCTGTAAACACGCAACTTTCACGACTATCCTGCTATTGTGACTATGTCAAAGATGATACAATTTAGCAAATGCCAAATTAACCTACTAAGATTTCGTCCACTAGGAATTGATACAAATTCTTGAAGTGAACTAGCTAACATATCTGATCAGTTCATATCCAGAGAACAGTTTCGTGGACTTAGAGTATGCAGGTGGTATTGTCCTTCTAGGCAAAAAGTCTTCTGAATACCAAAATCAGAAATCTTCGAATTTTTAGCATGCGAGCGATTCTTACCTGCTGTCAAATGCAAGATGCTGCACGGTCGGGCTGTACCAATTCCTAGCTTAAAGATATGGAGTGAAGTGATACAGTGTATGTTGTGCCTACTGGACTTATCTGAAGCTGAATCTCAGCACGGATACAGAAGGCTTTGTTTGGCATGTGCCAACTTACGCTATCTTTTCTGGCTTAGTAGACTTGATATCCGTCTGATTATCGAGCAAAGGACGTGTATACTGATCAGCAGCACTTCGCTCTGTTCTCCTTTATGGTTGTAACTGAGACATGGTCATTGAAAGTGGACCACATGAAAAGCCTAGTCTGGCTGGCTAGCTGTCTTTGATCATAGATGTCTGAGTTCTTCTCTTCCATATTAGGTGGTACGATAGGGTGAGTAATATTGAGGTTAGGCTTCGAGTGTTCAATAAGAAGGGGGAATCAATTCGACGACGTTGTGACATGTCTAGACATCGCCTACATCGACAAGCACAATGTTAGCCGACATTAGATTAGGTTGGTAAAGAGTTGGGGGCAGTCGAACCAAAAAATGAAATCTTGGACACTTAGTTTGAACCACATAAGGAGGTGTCGACTGCTGTCTGGTTGTTGTTGTCATCGGGAAGTTAAGAACCAATGACGGTTAGAGACAATTGGTGATATTATAGCTCAAAACCCGTTTGCAACGGTGGAGATGCATATCACTACGTGTAATCTCCTAGATCCAGTAAGTCTTCATCATTACTATTATTCTTTCTGCCCACAGATGTGTTCTTATTATAGGTCTTTTAAATTTCCCCTCTTTCCTTTGTACTCTCTATATGTGGAGTGTGTCAACTGTGAACTGCTGCAGCACTTCTGTGCATAGCTCTCTCTCTCTCTATGTATGTGTTTTGAAAACCCAATCAGTGTCAAGTCAATCAACTGCAATAAATGTCTTGCATTGTTAACAGCTTCATGTCAATTTCAATTGTCAATAGTTTCGCTAGTGACATGCTACAGGGCGGAGTTTCCTGGAGTTCTAGTGAGAAGTCGTGACCAGTGAGGTCCATACAGATGTCACGTGTGAGGATGGATGTCCCACCGACGACATTGGTTGGTGCCAGTCGCGCTAAAATCACGAATTGGTAGAAGTTAGAATTCATGGGCTGGCCATTGAATCGGGTCCCAGTGGCTGAGTAATGGTATACGAGCTTGCTTGCTTGTAACGGGAAGGTCCTGGGTTCGAACCCCGATGCATTGGGTGCGCACTGTCGATGATTCCCACAATAACTAGGGATGAAACAGCTGTCCAGTACTCCAGTGCTGGTTTTCAATGGTTCTCTAAATGAGATATCAATCCGTAATCAACTCGTAAAAAGATAATGATAAGTTTAAAATTGTTATTGAGCATCACTGAGATGAATAATTGTTGTTGTTGCCTTTTTTTAATGTTGTATTACTTTAGCTGACCGAATCTATCTCAGCTGACTTTCAGAAAAGGCGACCAAGAACAATCTTACCTGATGATATTAAAATGGAACTGGAGAGACTTTATCGAAAGGTGAGTGTTTTCATCAGATTATTTATAACCAACCTACCTGTTGGTAGCTTCGAGCTAGCTAACTGACAACAGTAGAATTTTAAAATCACATTTCATTCCATTTAGCTTTCCGATAAGATGACTCTAGAAGACACGTGAATTTTGCAGATGACTTATGTTTAGAGTCACACAAGCTCGAAAACCAACAAACTGCCAGAAGATGCGAGTAGGCGACGAAGACAGGACTCCAGGTGAACGTGGAGAAGACAGAGGTGATGAAGATAACCAACCAACCGACCAGCCGGACGAACAGCAACAACAACAACAACCAGCGCCAATCACCATCAACGGAAGAGATTTGACAGCGGTTCCTCGCTTTACTTATATCTAGCTAAGAAGCGTCGTTTGAACCACAGGCGACAGAACGGATGAAAATGTCAAAGGTAGACAGCATCTGAAACCAGTTTGCAAATCTTTTGCACACCCTGGCATAAAGAACAAGATTCGGATTTTCAACACAAATGTGAAGTCAGTGAGAGTTCCCCTATACGAGTCAGAAACTTGGGGTGCGTGTTATGAAAAGGATTTCCAACAAGTTACAGAGTTTTATCAACGACTGCCTTCGCTGTCTCCATATTGAAAATCAAATGGCCGGCCAGTAAGAATTAGCAACAAGAACCTCTTTAGTGGAACAAACCAACTGGCGAGAGCCGATTGCACTCAACAAATATGTAGGAGAAAATGGAGATGGATCGGGCACATGCACCACTAAGGAATCTGTCGGATGACATCTCGCGCAATACGGGTTATTTCTCGAGTTGTGAATCCAACGAGTGGGTCATCAGTGCGAGGGTGACATGGAGGAGATCGTGTGTTGGTGGGGGGGGGGAGATGAGAGATTATGAGAAATCGTGGTATCAGCCAGATGAAGAGGACAGCGGAACATAGAGCGAAGTGGAGATGTGTTGTTGAAGCCCTGCGTTCCACTAGGAACCCAAGGGAATAATAGTCATATAATAATAATAACAACTGGGTTTCTTCATATGAGTACCCTGTATCATCCTCAATTGAGTGTGTGTGCGTCGATGGCACAGTGGTTAGGACTCTCGCCGACCATGCACATAGTCCGGGGTTCGATCCCCTGCCGACGCACACCTGATATCTATGGTCGGCCTGCAAAATTTGGGCTACCGATATCATATGTTGAAAATTCCATACCTGTATTTAATTGGTGGATGGTGACTAGCAGTGGAATCCAGGATGCGCATTTCGTCCTATTTGGGGCTCGTCATCTGGATGTACCTGCATTTCTCAGTGAGTGATGATGTTCCCACCGAGCACTTCGGTCCAATCAATCGACGGGAAAAATCTAAAATTAAATTAAATTCCATACCTGTACCAAAAAACGGTGTGGAATTAAGCTGTAATAAAAAAAATTCCTACTAAGAGACTTTTTGTTTCAAAACATCAAGGCGTTATCCATACTAAGCGCTGATATTGGCCAACTATTTCACAAGTAGTTAGTAAGTTGTTGTAGGATTTTTTATTGATTAATTTAAGTTACAAGATTTCATCCTGAACAGCGACATTGGAGAGGACTATTGAAAAAGAAGCTGGGAGTACTAAACAGACAGCTGTTTCGTCAGCCTAATTCAGGACTGACTCTTCGGCAGTTCGCACCTCCACTGGGGCTGAAATGCTCAACATATAAACAGAGAGACAGAGACTGAACCTTCCGGTGAAATTTAATCAATACAACTGAGCGTTTAGAGTAATTTGAACATAAGAGAGAGTATATAAAGGTAATTTTGTAGTTATCCTTTGGTAAAGTTTCTGAAATATATAACCTCTCCTAAGTCGCATCATCCTGGAGAGAATCAATGATGCACTGGATTGCAGAATTCTACCCGGAATAAGCTGGATTCAGGGAAGGCAAATCATGCGCTGATCAAATTGTAACTCTAAGTATCGTCTTCACAGAACAAAGCATAGAATGGCAGTCAAACCTCCTTCTACCTCAACTTCATCAGCTTTGAAAGCGACTTCGACAAACAGCGTTGACCAAGAAGTAATTTGGAAACTACTTCTACACTACGGCGTACAGTGCCCAAATGTTTCTCAACCACACTCAACAGCTGGCTATATTACAGTGCCACATATCAAGTGATCCATAACGGAAACCTCAGTAAAGCGTTAGAAGTGCACACAGGAGTAAGACAAGGCTACCTGTTATCACCGATGAAATTCTTAATTGTGGCGGGCTGGGTTATGCATCAGACTGTTAGGAGCGAGGAGTCAGGAATACGCTGGATCGCCAATAAGAAGACTCTAGAAGATCAGTATTTCGTAGATGATATATGTCGAAAACTTGCAGGTAGGCGAAAAGCAACAAACTGGCTGAAGAGGCTGACAGCGAAGACAGGACTGCAGGTGAACATGGGGAAGATGGAGGTGATAACCAACCAACCAACAGCAACAACAACAACCAGCACCAATCACTATCAGCGGGAGAGATTTGACAGAGGTTACTCACTTCACTTATCTAGCTAGAAAGCATGGTTCCAACCACAGACCAGCGGAACGGATGAAGATGTCGAAGTCATTCGGAATCGGAAAGGCAAGATATGCCTTCATCAACCTGAAACCAGTTTGGAAATCTTCTGCACTCATCCAGTATAAGGAAGAAGATTCCGATATTCAACACCAATTGCAAGTCGGTTCTTCTATACGGGTCAGAAACTTGGGGTGTGTGTTGTGGAAAGGATTTCCAACAGGTTGCAGACTTTCATCAACAGCTGCCACCTCTGATGGCTCCATACTGAAGATCAAATGGCCAGTCAGAAAGAATTAGTAACAAGCAACTCTTGCTGGGAACAAACCAACAGGCGAGAGCCGATTGCGCTCAACAAATATGTGTAGGAGAAAATGGAGAAGGCTGTCGAATGATAGACCATTGTTCGAGTGGAATTCAAATGGGAAGAGACTAGTAGGCAATCGTGGACCCAACTGAAGAGGCTGGCGGAGAATAGGACGAAGTGGAGAGGTGTTGTTGAAGCCCTAATGTTCCACTCGGAACCCAAGGGAATAATAATAATACTAATAATTAGTATAAATTCACTAATCTAGACAATTTTACTTGTACTTTCTCAAGTAAAACTTGTTATTTATATTGTTTATTAATAGTCTCAAAGTGTTTGTTTTTTTCTTTGCTCCTATTTCAGAATCAACGAGTATCTAAATATGAGACTAAAGAATTATCTGCGAAATTCAATTTAGATAAGAAGATTATAGTAAGTTGGTTCTACAATCGTCGTGCACGTGATGTTGCTCAACAAGAGAAAAAGATGAAACAGCGTAGACGAAGGCGTTGATGCATACATATATCTATATCTACATACATTTTTGTAAATGAGATTCATTCAACTTTTTGTATAAAATATTACGATCAATCAACAGAGACAGAGGGAGAGAGGAAATACAGATATATATTGTTTTGTAATGGGTAATGCTTCCTCACTTGCTGTTACACATGTATATTGTATACATATGAATGTATGTGTATATGTGCACTTTCGCATCTAGAGTTCTTGGGATTCTACAATATTTTTTTTGTTCCATGTAGTTGATTCTAGAAGTTTTGTTATCAAAGTGTTTACGCCCTTGAGTTCTCCCCCCCTTTGTTAACCATGCTGGATGGATAGAGACGTTCCCAAGTGCGTTTTACAAGGAAGTGAAGAGCCATTAAGTAGAGAGGAGTTGCATTAGTAGAAGGAAGGCAAGATAATAGAGATGAAGATGAAGACAAAGATGAGTGAGCATTAGAGAGGTTTCGCGTGCACTTCGGATTGTCAGGGCGGTTGTTACTTCCCGGCTGCCACACACACCGTGGAAGTTGGTTGCGTGACCGCAGAGCCCAGGGGACAACTGCTTGAGGCCGATCACACGCGGCCTGTTTTTGTTTGTTATTTTTAATTTGGTGTGTCTCAGTAGCACATTTATCACTTCTGCCCTGTGACACGGCAGCAGGAAGCGCGGTCGTTGTTGATCCGGGCCCCGACCGGCTACCAACCAAGGGACGTGTGTACTGCTCAGCAGTTCGCTCCGTCCTTCTCTATGGCTCTGAAACATGGCCAATACGAGTTGAAGACATGAAAAGGTTGACTGTTTTTGACCACAGATGTTTACGATCTCTTTCTCACGATAGGTGGTATAATAAGGTAAGTAATGTTGACGTTAGGCGCAGAGTGTTGGGCAAAGAGGGAAAATCAATCGAAGAGGCTATAAGGTTACATAGATTGAGATGGCTACGTCACGTGCTGCGCATGCCTAACCATCGCCTCCCCACGACGGACGGGCATTACTAGCTGATATAGGTGCAGGTTGGAAAATAGTAAGTGGTGGCCAAACAAAAACATGGCCTCATCAATCCATGAAATCCTTGACAGTTAAACTGAGTCAGGTAGGGAGGGAGATGCAGACTTCCGGGTTGGGGCCCTCGGGACTCTAAGAATCAATGGCTGGAGACAATAGGTGACATGGCTCAAAATCGTTGTCAATGGCTCACGCAGATGTATTCAGTCTCTGTAATCTTTCATATTCCATCCTACCATTACTCATTCTGTTTCATTCTTATACTTGTCAAAGCTCTATTGATTCTTTTCACTCATTTTCTTGTCTACCTTTGTGTACTATTTGGAACGTGGCAACTCGAACTGGTGCACTTCAGTGCCAAGTTCTATGTTGAATCCAGCCAGCGTTTTACAAGCAGAGGAATGGTATACGGCCAATGTACTCAACTCTACATGAGCAAGTGTGAACTAGTTGAAGTGGCCCAATGCGACAGGCTTCTCTTTCATCACAGGCTGATTGAATAGTTTCTTGCAGAAAAAATGTTACTCGTAGGCTGGTGGGGAAAGTATGTTTTACTGAGAGACTTCGAAAGTCGCCAGAGAATTCCTAGAAGCCTGGTGGTGGTACTCAAGCGAACCAGCGATTAACAGACATATTAATATAGATCAAAACTAACCAACTGATAAAAAGTTTATCACGTGACGGGAAAGTTCAAAAACCAAGTCAATAGAAAGTGATCAATATATAGATGTAAATCGATTACCAGTCACGGAGATGGTTGCTGCCAGGAGACACAATTGTATCATTCATGGAGAATTTAAATCAGTTCATTTTATGCTAAAACTTGTGCTGAACATGTTTTACAGCAGCTCACAACTAATTGGATACTTCCATTATTTGTGGTGAGAATTTTGATTTTAAAAAAAAACAACCCAGTCCAAACCTTCAATAGCGTCCATCGAGATATCGACTTCACTCTGGAAGTTGAGGGTCTGACTAGATGTTTCATTTCCTCGACGTTCAAATGTCAAGGAATGCTGAAAACTCGCCGAGATCCATCTACAAAAAACACATATGGAACAGACAGTTTATCAGCTTCCCAAGTTGTGTGTGTCTAAGCAGAAACAGAAACCTAACATACTTTTTTTTCCTCGAAGATCCGGAAAATATGCACTGAGGAGTCAATTTACGAAGAATTGTGAAATCTTGATAGAAAATAGTTTCCCTTCACCTAGATTCATAGAAAAGCATCTATCACCAAAGAAAACGTCTAAATAGATCCAAGTTGCCCCTCATAAAAGATGCGGATACTTAACCTCGAATTTAAAAGTGATACCGAAGTAGACCTTCTTCGTAGATGGTTTTTGAAGTCTTTCAGTAAAACATATATCACCCTCAGCCTGCGAAGAACTATTCAATCCGCTCGTCATCAAAGATAAGCTGTCGCATTGGGTCACTTCAACCAATTCACTTGCTCGTGGGAAACTGAGTACATTGGTTGTATACCATTCGTCTGCTTGTAAAACGCGCTTGGGAAGACGCTATCCATCCAGCATGGTTAACAACGGGGGAGAACTCAAGAGTGTGTACATTTTGATAACAGAACATTTGGTGGATTGTAGAAGTGTTTCTTCGCTACAAGTTGTTATTTTTTTTCACCTTTTACCTGACAGATTTTGAAAGAAATTTTATTGATGACAATTGTACTGCAAGATTGTCTAGAGTGTATATAGGCAAAGCAATAAGAAGGAAGACGTAATATGTCTGAATCGTGTGATGTGTATTCGCGCAACACGTTTCGAACAATTTGATCACACTCCACGAACTTGTCATAGGTATAGATATATATGAAATTAATAAAGAGTTAAGAGATGAGAAAATAAATTTAGGTCAAGTTAAAGGAACATATTGAAGGCCAAAATAACAGTGACGATCACTAATCCAAATAACAGAGGTGATAGTGCATCTACCCTGGCTGGCACCAATACATAGTTTACTGAGGAAGGTTTATGGTGATGACAAATTGTTGCTTTGAATGCATAAAGGTGGTTTAAACTTCCTAATTGCCAGCTACAGCTTCCACAAACTTTAGGATACGCCCAAAACACGTTTTATAGATAGGCTTAAAAGATGTGTAAACATCAATTTTATGTGCTGTCTCTGTAATATGTTTCGTAATAGAGGAGCTAGGTCTCCTGTTCTCACCATTAATGGGTTCCAGGGGAATCTATTTGCTTCTGAAGCCACTTAAGAATATGCTCTGAAGCCCCAACCCTTACTTGCTGGCAGAGATCGATGAGTCCTCCCTGCTATGTATGTGTGTCCACACCTACATACATTCAAATTGATAAATACACTGGGATGTGACATTATTTTTCGCATGTTCAAAGGGCTTACTTAGATGGATTTATTGACTTGTATATGCCACCGTGGTTACAGGGTGACCTCTCTCCGTGTTCCTTTCTTTTTCAAATCATGTACACACAGGAATAGTATTTTGTTGTATTGTGTGCTTTCTTTTTTCGTTTGTTTGCACACCATAAAGCAGACACAATATTCGTAACTCTTATATTATACTTACACGACGAAATTACCAACATTTCTATCATAATTAGAATCGATAAAATTGCAAGCAGAGCATGAGTTCTATTATGTGTGATATGTCTCACAAACTGAACATAAAATTATAATTTTGTAATGTCTGCGTGTTGTCTATTCAGAGGTATATGAGTAGTTTCCAACCTACTAGTATAGCTGTGACTCCATTGATTGATCTAGGTGCGCATAACGTGGCAGCAGTAAAGAATAGACACCAAAGTCAAATGACCTTGAAACAGCCAGTCAAATTCTCCTGGGTGAGAAGTAGTGTAACAACAGAAGACAAGGGCCAGGCAACAGATCGTTTATTACGAAAAATCAACACGTATTTATAGATTTTTATGTACATTATTGTAGGTCAATGTTAGTAGAAAATACAGTCTGTTGATTGGTTGTTTCTCACACAAAGTTGAGCTTGCATCTCTTGTGGCTGTGTCAGTTCATCTATATGTTAACTGTAACCGCCTGTCCACCTTGACCTTTGACCTCAATTACTGTCAACCAATTTGGCCAGCAACCATCTCTCACCACAACATGACTAATATTTGATACATAAACATTGACCTCAATTACTGTCCACCACTTGGCTAGTAAACCGCTCTCACCACAGTAGTACTTAATTTTCAAAGAAGTGTATCTACGATATACATGTGATAAAAATGAATCATATAGGGCATATATCTTTAATATGCTGCAAAACTGGCCCCACATTCTCATAGAAGTGGTTATAGACATACGAAACCAATGTATTCTCTATTTATCCAGCTGTAGTAGATACTGGTTGCAAATACGCAATATATTACTAAGGGAAGACCTTTGGTTTTGAGAAGAAATTGTCTAAAAAATCACCACTTATGTACGCCTTACCGACTTATACAGACTGCCTCATATAAAGCCCGGCAATACTTTTGCAGAGTCATTATCCTTCCACATATGCATGTTATATTCCTCCCCCACCTATCAACCCATTTTCCACAGAGAAGTCAAAAACCGAATCTAGGAGACATTTTCAACTAGGATTATGACTAGCAATTATTTGTAATGCTGAGCTATCTATCTGATTGGTTAAATCAAGGTCATTTGACTGACTTTGGTGTTTATTGTCTAGTCTTGCCCATAACATATTTAATAATTGTATTAACTGGTCACTAGAGATGGTAGGTAACCAGTGGTCATGTTTTACGTCCTTACACTAACATATTGGCGCTAACTTTTTATTTTATCGTTCAAAAGTGTGTTTGTTATACAATCACCAATCATCACCTAAGAGACTCTTAATATAGTTATAAACGCTAAGTAAGTGGAGGCGATCAGCATGAAACCCCCTCCTAAATTTAGATTTTGTGCTTATTGGCTGGCACTCATCATAGCAAGGCGTGTATCTAGAACACTCTTGTAGGAACTGATGTCTCTCTGTGAGATTTAAACGCGCCTCATTCAGTGCTACAGTCAGCAACACGTTATGTACCACTGAGCTACTCGACCTCGTATACAACTGACTGACTGTAATCTGCTTACATTGGTTATAATTTAAATAAGTAAAATCTCTTTGAAGCTACACACACAGAAGACGTGACAGTTAAATAAAAGAATTTATACTTTGATTGGACACTAGTCAGTAACTAATGTAATATGTGTGTAGACTAAATTCTATAAGTTTGTGCATCGGTGGCACAGCGGTTAGGACGCTCGTCAACCTTGCACATGGTTCGGAGTTCGATTCCCGGCCGACGCACCCTTTTACCTCCCCACACCAGTGATAAAACCGGTAAAGAGGGAAGGTTGGGCATGAGGCTGGCAACCTCATGCCGTAAAAATAAATAAGCACCACTGCTACCGAAACTTCAAGCCTCTAGCTTGAAGCCCTCCCTATGTTCCACTGGGAACGTGAAGGAATAAAAAAATTCTATCAGTCAAGTTTGCAATATGGCCACTATTCTAGGTAGCTTGTCGTCACGGTTGACTTTAAACTGTTAGGACTTATGTCCCTTCAAGGTAGCAGATACGCCGCCTTGCTGACTGGTGATGAATGTCAACTAGCACGAAACCCCTAGGTCCTAGCAAGGCTTCCCTGCCGATTGCCTCCAACCAGCTAACACCATCAAAAGAATTTATTTTTTTAACTGCTTTTTTATTCAATTATTGAAACTGTACAAGTATAACAATAATATTAATAATAACAAGGTGAATGATATAGAAATCAATTTGTAATTTTTGTTCTTTAAATTTCAATAATTCACAATATAAGTTAAAGTGATAATAATGATAATTATAAAATCAAATAAAAATATAGTTTCGTAATAAAGTAGCATCACCAGAAGGCACACCTGTAAGAAAAGAAAAAAAAGAACCAGAAAGCGAAGTGAAGCATTATCATAGAAGCGATTTTAGAGGGTTATTTACAATTTTTATATATGCACAGTACACACGGTCTTCGGTCGCTGGGCAGCCGGATATCACGTCTACTAAGCCACAGATGACGTATGTGGCGTTGATATGTGCCAAACGATCCTTCCGTATCCATGCAGAGATTTCGTCAGCGATCAACCACTTATTGGTGTTGGTTGGCTGATGCAACTACCCTCAGATAAGTGAAGTGGTCAACAAGCTCCATCAACCACTTCACCAGCTCCCCACCTTTAAGCTAGGAGAATAGGTGTAGTCCAGTCCTGTAGCGAGCAAGCATCATCATCTAACATTTACTTGGCGGGAGTGAATCGCATCCCAAACATTCGAAGATTTCTGATTTTGGTGTTCAGAAGATTGTGCTTTTTGTCAGCGTCTTCTCCCCCAGAAGAACTATATCATCTGCATATTCTAAGTCAACGAGATTATGCTCTGGTGGTACAAAGTCAATCCCTGAGTAGCTGAAGTCAGTTAGAGTTAATTTCATCAGTACATCTATGATGCAGTTAAACAGAAATGGGGACATTAGTGGGCACCCATCATGGACACCACTAGTTTTCACCACTTCAGATGACAAGACGGAGGTGTAACTGTTAGTAGAAATACAAGTTAGATCACTAAATAACATCAATTTGAGAACTACTGAAAACCTGTGATTACTCTACTACAGGAAGAAAGTTTTCCTATCCTACGAACTGCGATAATCATATGATTTACATCGCTTCAACGGATATTATTTCGGATATTTATAAAAAGAGGTTATACTGTGGTGGTGTGATACAGACAGACTATGTGTTCCAAAGGAATATTATTCTCACATATTCTCACATTTCAATACTGCAGCATTAGCAACAGAATACTATATGATATATGTATACTTGAACATTCTGTTGCACGTCGTTTAATGTAAGCCAAAATCACACGCTGGCCCAGTAACTGGTTAAAGAATAAAAAACTATATCTTATATGGATAGCTGTTTGATCAATTGAAGAAAATATACCTTAGCTTCCATGTTTTGCCTTCTGCTGTTCCAATATGAGACATCCTTTCACTGTATTTAAGGACTGATGCTACCAACCCTCCTCCAGTCAACTGAACAACGTGCAGCGGGATTTAAAACCTGCACCCACTGAATAAAAGACCGAGTACTTAAACCATATCATCTCTTTGGAAGAAAAAAATAGCTTAAATCCTTACAAAAACTTCCCCAGAAATGATATCCATAAAATAAAAATAACAAACAAACTCAGAAGGAATTTCTCAAGTGCTTACCAGCCTATATACATTTGGCATAAATTTTGATTTGATGTTGCTTCACGTATTAAAAACTCAACTTGTGTAGATACACTCATCAACTGATCTCTTTCTGTACCGGTCAATTTTTGTCGAATTCTCTCCATTACTGAACGTGCACGTACATTTCCCAATGTCACCGGTTGAGCTGTAAAAGAAAAAAAACATTAGAGATTTCACTAATAATCTGTGATGTGTACCTAACTAAATGTGTAAACTACTTATAACAGTCGATTGAAGTAGTATATATATATCGTGTGACGTTTTACAGAGATTATCAATAACTTGAATAACCATTGATTATCAAAAAAACAAGACAAGGAGATGGTCGCGATTCTGAAGATTAACGAATAAGAGAAAGCGATTGTAAAACAGGAAAACTGATATATTAGTCAAGCGTTGGCTAGCAAGGATTCGATTTGATTGGTTTCAGGATTTTATCATGAGCTGACATCGGTTAGAAGACCACTGGAAAACCACCAGGGAGTACCGGACAACTGTTTCATCCTAGTTCGGGACTCTTTTCAGCAGTACACAGCCACCGCCAGCGCTGGAACCGAGAACCTACCGGTGACAAGGCTAGCGAGCTCACAGACCACTCATCAGCTACTGGAACCCGATCCAATTGCCAGTTCACGATACGGCGCGACTGGCACTAGCCAATATCATCGCTGGTGAATATTTGTCCTCACACCTGACCTACTGTACCGCACACTGGTCACAACTTTTCACTAGGACCACCCAGTTAACTACCTACCTGAATAGGGCCAGTCACTAGTGAGCATCAGATTGATATTCAAGTGTTGGTGGTTTGCAGGAATTTCACTTGATTTGGTTACAGGATTTTATCACTGCATTACTTACTTATATTCGGTTAGAAAAATAACTTACACAACGAAAAAAGTGCATGATGTAGGAATGAAATCATCAACGAGATGTCTTTGTGCAGAACTTGTTTTCCCTCTAATGTCCTGATTGATGGGTATTTTCCATGATTTATCCTGTTATATAGATACTCATAGAATAGGTGGGCATTAGGATTAGTAACTAAGCCTTTTCAATGACTGATCCAACGGACCATGTCAGCTATGCGAACCAACTGTTGCTAACCAGATCACCACTTCAATCCGATTACCAAAAAGATAACGCCGAGAGCTATCAAGTGAATGAATGCGCTGTCCACTACTTATCATCATCAAAACTTCTGTAAATCCCAATCACATTATATTAAGGTCAGAGAGAAGTAGGTTGTTAGTTGACTCCAAGTTAGAACATACAGGGTGTATTGCAAAGCTGTTTCGCTCTAATTAAAGTCTCTTCAGCTACACATATATATATGTATGCACGTGTGACTCCACACTAAAGAGCTTCAGATGTCACGAGGCGTAGTACCCTTTGACTGTTCACCCAATGAGATGGAATAAAACGGCCCATGAATTTGTGACCACACCAGGTCAGATGTTAGGACAAATACTCGCTGGTTGTCTGTAGTTCTCTAACTGGTATGGCAACTCTAAAGAATAGCAGCCTAAACCGAGACTACCTAGCGAACGGATAAATGACCTTGAGCAACCAATCAGGTGACTCCGTATTTTCCAGACGTATTTATGGGTGCTTTACACCTTTTGCGTTGCAAATTCGCTCCAGATCTTGTTTTTGATTACTGTTTGGAGAACGGACTGATAGGAATGTCGAAGAATCGCCAATGTGGAGGTGTCATTCGTATGCAAAGATACAATAGGTGCATCGATGGGTTTGTTTGTTGGTGAAATGAGTGCCGAACCAGAAAATCAGTTCGAGAACGTATGTCGTTCGTTTTTAATTTACAGATTCCTTAGGTACTTTTGATAAAAAGATATCATCGAGGAAGATTGAGTGCGAATCAGCAATAGGTATTGGGGATATATTGAGGCGATCCCTAATCGCAGTGCAGGTGTATTATTGCCTATTATCCAGCGCTTAGTGCTGCCTGGGACGACTATTCATACAGATGAATTGAGTAGTTACAGTCAGTTATCAAATCTGGGCTATATTCATCAAGTGGTCAACCATACAAATGGTTTTCTCAATCCTTTTGATGGAACTCACACTAATTCCATCGCAAGTCTCTGGAGTCAGCTAAAAAAACATATCAGATCTGTGAATGGATCAAGAAATGCAATGATATACAGTTATCTTGATGAGTTTATCTCCAGGACTTGGTTTAACATGAGTATCAAGACTCCTATGAGAAATTGGGAGGCTATTTTTGCAACATTTACGAGAACGTTGTCCTTTGTAACTATTTTTTAACATTGCATTACTTATATATAAACGATTTATTACAATTATGTGCCGTTTTTTTGTGAAATTTCTGATTGGTCGAAGTTGTCCTTGTCAAGGTCATTTGTCCGTTCGCTAGGTAGTTTCGGTTTGGGCTGCTATTCTTTATAGTTGCCACTGATATCAATCCATGATCTAACGTGAAATCAATTAAATCTCAGCAAACCAACACACCTGAGAATGTTAAATAGTTGTTGAACACATTCAATAGCAAAGAAAGAAAATGAATGAATCACTAGGGTTAGACATTACCTTCTGAATCTATGGATGAATCCTCTGTACTTGGCGGCTTAGCTGAGAATATGAAACCTTGTAGTCCTGAGTAAAAGAAAGTGTAATAAAAAAAGAAAAAAAGTTGTTGAGTACAACAAATTAGGAAATGAATAATGTTACTACGCAGAATACATATCCCATACACAAGTAGCTTTAAGTGTTGATAATCTCGTCTAGTCATCTAGCCGGTCCCAGGCCCAGGGTAAAGAGGGAGGAGGGTATAGCATGGGGCTAGCGAACCAATCAAACTGCTACACACACAGACACTTCAACGCACGAGAAATATATTAAAAATACAAAAAAATCGGGGGGGGGGGGGCGAAATGACGCGAACTCATGAAAGTCCACCTTCGGGAAGCCAGTTAGCCAGCCGATGTGTGTCTTCCTTTCGATGAAAGCGAGAATAAGAATGAGGACTCAAAAACACAAATGTGAAGTCAGTTCTTCTATATGCGTCAGAAACTTGGCGGGGTGCATGACGAAAACGATTTCCAACAGGCTACTGCAGACTTTTATCAACAGCTGCCAACTTCGATGCCTCTATATTGAAAATCAAATGGTCGGCCGGCCAGCCACAAAGAATTAGCAACAAGAAACTCTGGCTGGAAACAAACCTACCAAGAGCCGATCGCTCAACAAATATGTAGGAGAAAATGGAGATGGATCGGGCATACGCGACTGAGGAGGCCATCGAATAACATCGCACGCAATGCAGTCCATCGCTCGAGTGGATCGTCAGTGTGAGGCTGACATGGAGGAGATCGTGTATTGGGGAGGAGGAGATGAGAGATTATGGGCAATCGTGGACCTAGCCAGCTGAAGAGGACAGCAGAAAATAGAACAAAGTGGAGATGTGTTGTTGAAACCGTATGTTCCACTCGGAACCCAAGGGAATAATAATAATAATGAAGAATGTGTTGATATAGCCGGTGGTAATAAGAACACACAGTAGACTGCAGCAAATGATACGCACCCAATTCACTAACAAAACCTAATACAATCGTTCATCCCGATGTTAACCACAGCAACACTACCAATGAGCAAAAAGAAGAGAGGGTATGGATCAATGACAGAAAGGCTTTAGCAGTTAAAAGGTTTAACAGTGCTGAATATATAGAATTTAAATGACCATCATCAACAACACTACATTTTAGCGGCGAATTCACTCACTGAGATGTACAATCGCACTTATATATACTTATTTTTGTATATATGTGTACATTAGATAGGTTTGTCCGACAAGAATAAAAACAAGTTAGGGTTATTGTCGTCAAGACATTTCAAAAATGTGGTGAGTAATTAACAGTAAATAAAGGCGAGGGGTAAGGATTGGTAAGAGGGTAGTAGTGGTGATGCGTTGTCAGACGATGGATCAAAGTGATAGAGACGCCCGCAATAGTGACAGACACTGTGATCTCCAGTATCGGTATTCAGCCGCCAACGTCTACTTGAATTCCCAGACGACTACTTAAGCAGTGAGAACACAGGGATTTTTGTACTTCTCTTCGTGATTGAGTTTCATTAGACCGAAATGCTGCTCAGTACGGATGTTTCAATGAAGTTTGGAGGTTAAGATGATGCTATCTGACTGAAGAACCTAGTAGTGGAATGAAGGAGGTGCATTTCGTCCTATTTGGGACTCATCACCTAGGTGTAGCTACATACCTCCATCCCCCAATTAGACTCAAACAATAATCGGTTATCCATTGGCGATTGAAACGATGAGCATCAGTGTTTTAACCGGAAACGCAGCTACACATCAGACTGACAAGACTCAAATAGGGCCAAACGCATGTCCTAGATCTCAGTGCTAGTCACCGTCATCAACCGAATAACGTCTGAGTACTGTAATAATAATAATAATACCCATATAAGGCTGATATACGAAATCATTATTTTTCAATCGTTTTAATAACGTAAAAAATCACTTATAAACCAAGTATGAAATTTCTCCTATTGTCCGTATCTGCTAACAAACTGATGTAAGACTTTGCAGCGTTCAATTTCGCACAAAACAGAACGCATACACAAACACACACACACAAAAAAATGAAAACTCAGAAGAGAAAACGTGAATACAATAATAACGCTACAATTGATAAACATGAATTGAAATATGAGAAAAAAATCGGATTCATTCATTCATACACTTACCATGACGTTCAATGACAATGTGACCAGATTCTGTTTGTCTTCTTAAACGTTTAGCTACACACACAGAAATGGAAAAGACAAACACGGTTCGATAAACCAAATACACAAAACGACATATTAGTGATGATTAAAGTCTCTTTTATTTGAATAGAGAAGAAATAATTCAGGCTAAATTAATGTTTATTTTTATAATGAAGAAGATTTGTAGTTCAGGTGGATAATTTCGATGTAGTTGTGTTCTCTGAGCTGGAGGATTTACTTGTTAAGTTTTCATTATCCCACTTACTAGGCAACAGCATCAGTGCATACTTCAATTTGATGAAGTGAGCTTTCGGATTTCCCCACAAGTTTATTAGTTATCTCTCCTGGTGGGTGACCTTCAACGTGAGTGGTTGTTTTCGTGTGTTTTCACATTCTCTAGACTACTTGTATTGGTGTTGATTGTTTCCTTGATCTGAAGTTTGCCCCTTTGTGTATGAGATTTCCTTCTTGTCGATTGGTAAATTTTGTCAATGTGTCTATTGATTGATGGGTCAAGTTAAACTTCAAGCGCCACTAACTATCAGTGAGGTGCGACCTCATCAATGACCTTGAAACGCTCACTGAGCAAGTTAGTGAAACGTGCAAATAATATTTTCATCATCAATAAAATATGTTCATCTGAATGTTATGCTATTAAATGGGATGTTTCACAAGTTTCAGCTTAGGTTTGGGAAAGATTAAGTTACGGTTTAAGCCAAGGACAAGTTAGGATTAGGTTAACCTAATGAAGGTGACATTAGAGTTGGTTAGACTTAGATTATAGTTAGTTTAGGGATATTTTCACTTTAGGGTTAGAAGATCTAAATAATTACATGCATAGAATGTGGTTAAATTTCTCTGTTGATATAAGAATAGAACTTGTGCACTGTGGTAGAGTATAATTCCATTGTGGGTAAAATTTATTTTGATAAAGTCTCACAGTGTTATACAGTAATATTTACTGATGACAACGTTTCGAGCACAATTTATTGCTCAGTAAATATTACTGCATAACACTGTGAGACTTTATCAAAATAAATTTTACCCACAATAGAATTATACTCTGTTGATACTCCAACCTAAAGATGAGAGGAAGGTATCCTCTGTTACACTTTTCTACAGTTTTTAAGCATTATTTGATAAATATGTGTATTCCATACACAAAAATGCCTCCTTCACGTGATCGATGCGTTCGAGATCATTCGCTGTGATTGGTAGTTAGTGGTGCTAAAAGTTTAAATTTGCCGATTGATGATTTACTGGAATACCAGGCTTCTAAAAATACTCTAGCACTCTTGGTGTTCCCTCTGTCTAATTGACATTGACATAGACAAAATTTACCAATCGACAAGAAGGAAATCTCATACACAAAGGGTCAAACTTCAGGTCAAGGAAACAATCAATCAATACTCAGTATTTTAGTAGGTGAATGGACACAAAAAGAAGCAACCACGTTCAAGGTCACCCACCAAGAGAGATGACTAATCAACTCATGGAGAAATCTAAAAGCTCACTTCATCAAATTGAAGTGTGCGCTGAATCTGTTGCCTAGGTAGAGTAGGACAATGAAAGCTTCTCAAATAAACCGATCCAGCTAGCTCAGAGAACACAACTACATCAAAATGAATAGAGACAATCTCTGAACTAAAACGAGATGATATTCATTTCAACAAATTCCCACCTTCATGTTTCATATCAAAGTTTTTAAAAAGAAAAGAAGTTGAAAAGATATGTGTGTGTTAGCAACGAAGGCATATTGGATTAACCACTTCTGTATAATAAACAGTCCAGGGTTTTCCTTGTGTAGAAAAGCAAGAGCCTCCGCAGTGGACAGACGTTGTAGTTGGAAACTTTTCGAACGAAAAGAATGATATATGTAACCCTGATTTTCTACATATCTGTTTGTATTTCTGTCACCCCACTTATTGATTTATGTCCCCTAATTTTCTCTCACCCTACTTATGACCTTTGAAACCCTATTGGTTGTTCACTGTTTTAATTTATCAACGACATTAGTGGTTCTCAGGGTCATTTTGAAGCATATCTATAGGCAAGCGCTCTCAATCTTTTTTGACTGTTGTTTTGAAACAGTTAAAGCTCTCTTGCCATCGTCCACAGTCTCTCCTTTTGTCTTTGCGTGCCGGTGGCAGTGTTATTGTTGTTCCTGTTGACATGCGATTAGGACAGATTATTAGCCAGCGCATGAAGTTAGTATTCGCTCGCTCCAGGTCGTCTAACAGATCGTAGTTCCGGTTATAATAAAGAAACTGCTGAGATTATAATTAAAAGCAGTCAACTATGCAGTGAATACATCTTTTTTCCTTTCTTTTCAAACGTAGAATATGATTACGGATGGAGGATAGAATCGACAAAGCAATAAACTGGGTGTGATTAGATGATCTTCAATCACACTTGTATTCACCATGTTCACCTGCAGTTCTGTCTCTACTGCCTGCCTCTTTTACCAACTTATTGGTTTACGCCTGTATGAAGTCTTCAAATATTTATGCAACATAAGACATGAATCCTCCGCAAAATGCATATCTTCTACAGTCTTCTCGACCACCACCCCCCCAACGCCCACAGCATGTCTACTTCCCTAGATTAAGACAGTGGTGATACAACGATAACAAAGATAAACAAAATGTGAACACTACGATAAATAATATGTGTTGCATTAAACATACCAGTTTCATAACATCCAAACCACGGTCCATTACATAGATGATGACGCCATGGATTAACTTTTTGTGGATCACGTAATGAAACACTATCTGGATGATTTGGATTAGTAAAGACTTTTTTCGATGAATTCATTCGTCTATTGGAATGCTGTTGAGGCGGTTGATGTTGTAATTGTTGTTGATGACAGTGTCCTTGAGGATTTTGTTGACCAGTAGTTTTATCCATTACACGATGAGGCGTGTTCTACACACACACACAAACACAAACAAGGAATAAGGAAAAGAAGTATATTAAATATTTCTAAATATTACGTATTGAAATAGTTCAAATAATTATTGATATTCTGGTCACAAACAAACGCACGTTGAAAACCAAGGAGTATACTGGACAGAATTTAGAATTCAACGAGGCAGCTGTGAATGGTCGACAGGCTTGCCTTTAATCTGAAGGTGTTTTGTTTAATCACCAGTGAAAAGATTCCGAACTATAATGAAACAGCTATACAGTGTTTCATAAGATGCATCATGAAACGGCTTAAATCCTCCTATATACCAGGCACCCGTGACAGAAGGACGACAGAACTAGAACAAGTCTTGTCTTAACGCCTCATTCTTAATTCAAACAATATGGATTCCAATTTATCAAATATTATGAAAATCAAACTTATGTTCTGATATTATAACCCTTTGAACGAACAGTTTAAAACACGAAAGAAAGCTTTTCACATACAGACATGAATTTTAGAACAAAAAGTTCATTGAAGAGTCTCCTTTTCAGCGGCGAGTTCATTCACTTAGCTGTACAATTGCATTTATATATAATTACTTTACGTGTGTGTATGTGTGTGTGTAAATCAGGTTTGTCAAACAAGAATAAAAATTACTTAGGGATATTGCTTACGTCATCAAAATGTCTCAAAAAATGTGATGAATAATCAAATTGTAACTAAGGGGGTGGGTGAAGATTAGTAGGCATTGACAAGGGTTACGTAATATGGAAGACACCCAGAAAAATAGGATGTTAATGAAAAGACATGGAGACAATTGTTCAAAATAAATTATGTAATAGGTAGAAAGAGTAAATAAAGGGTTGGTTAAGAAAAAGATGTTGCTAAAGCATTATTAACAAAGTAGTAGAACTTGGAATTATACTCAAGTTAGAAGACGGGGTGGAGAAGTCTCTTCTGTGTACATAAATCACGGTTTTCTATCCGGATCGCTAAGGCCTCGGCAATGCAAAGTATACGGAAGCTTACCTACCGTTTTTGGGAGGCTTCTTTTGACTTTGTAGATGACTTTGAATGAATTCTCCTTACATATTGAGTGACCAGTGTTGAATATATGTTCAATTATAGCACTCCTTATTGATCTACTGTTACCTTTTCGTAGCCAAGAGGGATAATGTTCTTTAACTCTTTTAGACAAAATACGCATCGAACGACCTTATATCCCTCACATATCTCACTAGATATCCACACTTTTTGGCTGTTAGTAGTGAGACCATTTGAGAAAGCAGACAACTTTTGATGTATGGTGATTACAAAGGTGAAATGAATGCTTGTGTCATGCACACAAAGGTTAGAATTAATGACCACCGGGATTAGTGACCCGGTGCCCTACCCCATCCAGGCTACAAGACTCTAATTTAATGATGATGTTAGACGAACAGTAATTTTATTACCCATTTACATCATAGCTGACCATAGAGCCACTTACCACCATTACATTGAAATAATAATCCAAGTATATGTAGATCGTCCAGCATACATTCCCAGAAGAGATACATGCCATTTACACAACCAAATAGTTATTTTTCAAACGTTAGCTTGCAGGGGATTGTGATCGGTCTCAAATTAGACTCACAAGCTGACATCAGTTAGAGAACGAAAGAAAACCAAGGAATAATCGACAGCTGTTTCGTCCACGTTTGAGACTCTTCAAAATAGCAAACTGAGGTTCAGAACCAGGACTTGCACGAATTAGCAGAACTTAGAATTCAAGGACTACTGGATTCAGTTACAGTGGCTAAACGACCAACGGGCTCACTTGATGAACTCGATTTCCGGTGAGTTTATGGGCGCAAACTGTTGAAGAGTCCCAAACTAGGACGAAACAGCTGTCCATTTCTCCCTTGTTTTCAATGATTCTCCAAATGATTAACAGTGAACCGATAACAATTATCATGACCATGCATCATCATCATCATATCGTGACAACTATTCTTCAACAATAGAAAACAATTACCTGTAAACATTATATAAACGCTGAAAAGTGAATAATAACAGTAATCAATAAATAGTAGAATATTATCAGACAAATAGTGTTTTTCGAAGCAAATATAACTGCTCACCTGATGATGAGTAGTAAGTCCTTGTCTATGTGCATAGTCCAAATTACGAGCAGTAGGTTTTGGTTGAACGACTTGATTATTAGTTCCCAGCCCAGCTTGACCAATGCCGCCACCACCACCACCAGCTGTAGTATTTACATTCGTTAAACAATTTGTTGCCATAGCAGCTGCAGCAACTGCAATACCTGTAGCATTGGCATTAATTTGACCAGTTGGATAAACTTGACCTCCTCCTGCTCCTCCGCCTACTCCTCCCAAACCTCCGACTGCCATAGCGCCTCCTCCACCTCCTGCCCTCCTGCATCATCTAATTTATTATCCAAATGATTGAATTCTTTACGATTTTCATGAAGTACCCATTGTAATAATGGATCATGAATAAATGCTTCTAAGACGGCTAGAAGACTTTCACGATTAGATCGCATAAGTGACATAACCATTTCACAGGTATGACGATAGACACCATCAATTCCTGTCACCTGAGTAAAATAAAGAAAAAAAAATGATAATAAGTAAAGATGCGTACTGATGAAGAGTCCCAAACTAGGCTGACGAAACAGCTGGCTGTCCATTACTCCAACGTTTACCAATGGTTCTATAGCCGATGTCAGTTCATGATGAAATCCTGTAACCAAATCAAGTCAAATCCCTGCAAACCACCAAGACTTGAATATCAATCTGATGCTCACTAGTGGCTCGCCCTATTCAGGAAGGTAGGTACCTGGGTGGTTCTAGTGAGAAGTCGTGACCAGTGTGCGGTACAGCAGGTCGGGTGTGAGAACATATACTCACCACCGAGGACATTCGCTAGTGATAGTTACAGAAGTTGGATCGCTCGGGTTCCCCCAATGGCTGAATAGTCTACGAGCTCGCTTGCCTTGTCACCGGTAGGTCCTGAGTTCAAACCCTGGAGGCAGATGCGTACTGACGAAGAGTCTCAAACTAGGACGAAACAACTGACTGTCCAATAGTTCCTGGTGGTTTTCCAATGGTTCTCCAACCAATGTCAGCTCATGGAGTAATCTTGAAACCAATCATTAAATCCCTGAAAACCACCACTTGAAAGCTTACTTAACCAGATAATCTAGTGAACAAGTTTATGCACTACACAGGTAAACACACACACAAAGACTATAAATACTACAGAGATAGGGACAAATACTGATGAAACAACTGGAAACACAAGGCTTCCAACTGGAACTTCAGAGTGAATTGCATTTTTCAATGTATGACTTGTATAAAAATTGTATCGGTTCACAAGTTACCATCCTTCATACAATCATACATAAAGGCCTGAAAATATGAGAAGAGAAATGCCAAGAAACTATAATAAAAGGAAATTTACGATAGGAAGGATAATGACAACTTAGTGAAAATGGCAGATCGTAAAGAGTGAATGTACTCAAGCGATTTGAGAACAACTTTGGCTGGTGACTGTTGGCTGTATGACTCCGTGATTGATTATTAGCGAGCCGAGGACCACTCTATGCGTCTCAAAATGAAAAATCAAAGTTTTCATGAATTGTTGTCATATTCTAATTTGACCATACCTAATTCATTTCCAACACGACTATCCTATGTCACGCTAACATTGCTCAACAACGAAGGCGATGCCTTCCGCATGCATAATAGCATGAGTTCAAGCCATCTTCCTTACAATCTCATCGATTGACTAATCCTTCTGAGCTAACAATCTGCTTTTAAACTGACTATATACATTATGCCATCTAACAAAACAAAACAAAACCCAGATGCCCATAGAACAAAAAGACGGCTAGCTTCTCCATTTATTACCACTTTCAACAGCCGTATATAATTCCTAGAAAAGAGCACAGCGAAATGCTGAGCAGGAAAAAAAACCCACTCTAATAGAGAGTTAATATGAAAGATGAAGTAATTCGACAAGTATTAAACAAGCCTTTTGTATCCATGGTACGATATGAGCCAAACTTATACTGTGAAGTGGTGACAACCAGTGGTGTCCGTCAGGGATATCCACTGTTGTCCCCATTTCTGTTCAATTTCATCATAAATGTGCCAACAGAATTAACCCTAACTGACTTCAGCAATTCAGCCATTGACTTGTTGTTAACAGGCAACAATTTCGTTGGCTTAGAATATGTGGATGATATAGTCCTTCAATGAAATCAGTCCATGAGGTTGTGAAGTCACATCGACTGAGATGGGGTTAGAACATGTATTATGCATGATTAGCCATCGCCATTCAAGACAAGCAATGATATTCGACATTGGATTAGATTGGAAAAGGGTTAGGGTTGGTCAAACCGAAACATGGCGATATCAGTCAATGAAATGCACGCACCACAGTTAGTTTAAGCCAACCAGTCACGTAGGGAGATGTAGACTGTCTGTCTAGTCAGGCTCCTCAGGATGGTAAAAACCAATGACAGCTGGAGACAATTGGTGATATGGCTCAAAATCATTGTCAATGGCTGTCGAAGATGCATTCTCTCTTTGTGATTTGTCATATCTAATAAAACTCTATTGTTCTTCCATATTACTATTCTTTTTTCCTCACTCATACTTCTGTTTATTATCTCTCTTTACTCTCTTTTCTTGCTTTGTGCGCTATATTGAAAGAGTGTGGTAAGTGGAACAGCTGCAAATCTGTGCAAAGTTCTATGCTGAAACCAGTCAGTCAGTCAGTCAGTGAAAGCTCATGATACTACAGCCAATTGCCCAGGATAAATTAAGTGCAAAGAAATAAGAAAAAAGTCTGAATACGTCGGTGTCTATATCAACGAAAGATTGAATTTTAAGCATCTTCAGAGACCGAAACTACGTAACCCACGTCAGACTAAGTGTCCTAGATGAACAGTCGAAGAATTCAACGATGACGAAAAGCGCATATAATAATATATATATATATCCACCATCCGATAGCAAGTATGCCTGGAAAGAGATGACTGTTCAACTGAAAGCAATCAGCACATACCAATCTGTCAACACATTTATTCTATTGGTTAGAGGATTTCATCATGAGCTGACATCAGTTAGAGAACCACTCGAAAACCAGCAGGGAGTACTGGACAACTGTTTTCGTTGTTCTAGTTTGGTGACTCTTCATCAGTATACACCCACCACAGTGGTTCGAACAAGGACGAAACAGCTGTCTGTCCAGGACTCCCAGTCGATTTTCCAATGGTTCTCTAACCGATGATATCAGCTCATGATGAAATCCTCCAATCAATCAAACAAAATCCCTATAAAAACCAATATTTGAACATTTGTTCTAACACACACACACACAACCTGAAATTAAAACATTACAAATTAAATGTAGAAAAACTTTCAAATTTTTAATAATATCAATTCATCCATCATTCATTGATTCATTCATTACCTCCATAGCAGCAATTATCATACGTGTTAATCGAAATGGTACTTTCTCTGGAAATTTCTCTCGTAGTGTAGCCACTTCAAAACAATCACCAAAATCAATATGTATCACTTTGCCCGTTTCACGAGACAACATTATATTCGATGGATGTCTAATAATTAAAAAATATACAATATAGATAGAAATATCAGTTAACTGTCAGTAATAAAGCTTGAATAACCACAAAATCATGCTTATGGGCAATAAATTGTTTGGCCAATGGAGTGTTGTAAAAACGATTCGGGAAATTCGGACCATTGGATCCGGTCCCAGTGGCTTAATGGTCTACAGGCTCGCTAGCCTTGTCACCAGAAGGTCCTGGGATTCGAATCCTAGCGGTGAGTGAGTGCGTACTGATGAAGAGTCCCAAACTAGTCTGACTAAACAGCTAGCTGTCTGGCTGTCCAGTACTCCCTGCTGGTTTTCCAATGGTTCTCTCTAACCGATGTCAGCTGATGATGAAATCCTCTAACCAACCAGTCAAATCACTACAAATTAATACTTGGATTCGAGAAAAGTTCGACTTTAGACATTATTCAAGAGGTGTAGATGCACCAAATAACTTTGGAACGCGTAGTTGGCGCTAAAAAGCAAATTCGGGTGCCTAACCTTAGTTTTGTTTTCTTAACCTAACCATACATAACCTGTCACTAGTCTAAATCTAACGTAAAACTAAACAAAAAAATACTCATTTAACACTTTTCTTCATGAATACAGTTTCATTCATCTGATTTCAATGCCTTGCTCTGACACAGCGCGTTCAAGGTTGATTGGTACGTTCGAGTCTGTTAGGTGTCTAATGTGTAGCTTCACTATTCTTCACAGCCTTCATCTTCAGTGAATTATAGCAGTAAGTTTTACAATAGGATCAATACACCAGAGGAAAGAGACACAATCACTCATTAATTAACGAGTCCCAAGTGCGTCGGTGGCACAGCGGTAGAATGCTCGCCGACCACGCAGAAGGTTCGGGGTTCGGTACCCGTCCACAGGACGCACTCCTCCTTTACATTGCTAAGCCAGTAATAACACTGGCTAAGAGGGAAGGTTGGGCATGAGGCCAGCAACCACATCCCGTAAAAATAAACACCACTACTACCGAAACTTCAAGCGTCTAGATTGAAGCTATATGCTCCACTGGGAACGTAAACGATAAAAGCGCGTATCCTAAATTTCCTCCTAGCCACAGCCTTTGGCTGTCACAGACACTGAAATTGATGTATCATGAATGGTGATTATTGAAGATGAAATGAAAATCTCAGCCACACAAAAGATTTAAACCAGTAATCTAAGAAAATTGAAAGAAAATCTTAACACAACACTGGGAAAGTAACGAACTTTTACCGCGTTTTATCACAACCACGCTATCGTTTCCTATGAAATATTATTATTATTTATATATTACTCTTCTTCTTTTCTTTCTCCCTTCTTTCCCTTACATTTCAAGTGAAATATGCCATCAAATTTCAGTGGAGGTGGTGAAGTTGTTAACTTAAACACCAAACTTTCCCCACCCCCTCTTTTTACTTACGGCTAAGACTGTTGAGTTAACAAGTTAGGCAAGGCTTTAATTATGCGTCAGCCGAGAATTGAGCTGAAACCACCACCTGAGCTGCACGGCTGGTGAGCACTCTGTCATTGAGTCACCGAAGGCACATTATGTCTATATATATTACTAATATGTGATTTATAAGCAGTATATATTACATGGGGATAAAGAAAAGACAACTGAAGACAGTCAAGGATTTATCAAGATACAAGAAAACAAAACAAATAACAAACATCAAAATAACAAATGTGCATTGCCTGCCTAACTTACCTATCGCCTAAGCCTAAAACATAACCAACCATTGACATTGTAGCCATTGATCGAGTGAAAGTAGTTCTACGCTCAAACCATGCCTGAAACAAAATTGAGAGATAAAAAGCGCTAAGAGTTTAAGAAATATATTATTATAAATCCAATGAACTATAATTATCAATACTTCATAATGTGAAGTAAGTGCTGAAATGCTTTTGTGCATGGCTCAATAAATATGCAGAAAGAAATGGGCATGGATTGGAAATCAGCTGAGAAAGCCAGACAGGTGCTTGAGTGGACCACCAATGGGCCGAACGGGAAACGATGAATTGGGTTTAACTCTGGGAGGGGGGCGATATGAAGGAGATCGTGTGAGGAGGAGATAAAAGCTTATGCACAATATTGAGGCCAAATAAAAGGGACTACAGAGTGAAATGGTACTGCTGAAGCCCTATATTCCACTAGGAACCCCAGGGACGAATCCTATATATATGATGGAGAAGATTTGTAGATCAGGTGGATGATTTTGATGTGGCTGTGTTCTCTGAGATAGCTGGATGGTTTATTTGCGAAGCTTTCATTGCCCTACTAGGCAACATCTTCAGTGCATACTTCAATTTGAAGCATATATATATATACAGATAAGAAGAGTCTAGAAGGCATGGATTTCTCACGTGGATGATTTATGCTTAATGTCACACAAAGTCGAGGACTTGCAGGCAGGCGAAAACCAACAAACAGGCGCAAGACGCGAACAGCCAGAGAAGACAGGACTCCAGGTGAACACGCAGAAGACCGAGGTGTTGGAGATAACCAACCAACCAAGAGCACCAATCACCATCAACGGGGAAAAATTGAAAGATGTTATTTTCTTCATTTATCTGGATAGGAAACATCGCTTCAACCACAGGCGACGGAAAGAATGAAGATGTCAAAAGCAGACAGCATCGGAAAGGCAAGATATGCCTTCATCAATCTGAAAGCAGTTTGGAAATCTTCTGCTCTCACTCAGTCAGCATATGGAACAAGATTCGAATTTTCAACACCAATTTCAAATCAGTCAGTCAGTCACTTCTATATGGGTCAGAAACTTGCACTGCGTATTACACGTAAAGGATTTCCAACAGACTGTAGACTTTTATCAACAGCTGCCTCATTCTCTGGCTCCATAGTGAAGATCAGGTAGCTGGCCAGGAAGAATTACCAGCAAGAAACTTCGGCTGGCAGCAAACCAACAAGCAAGAATTGATTGCTCAACAAATATGTAGTGGAAAATGGAGATGGATCAGGCACAGGCCATCGAATGACAACGTGTGCAATGCAGGCCATTGCTCGAGTTGAATCCAAATGGAAAGCGACGAGTGGGTCGTCAGTGCGAGGGTGAAATGGAGGAGATCGTGTGATGAGAAGGAGCAGATAAGAGATTATAAGAAGCTGTGGACCCAGGTGGAGAGGATAACAGAGAATATGAGAAAGTGGAGACGTGTTGTTGAAGCCCTATGTTCCAATCGGATCCCAAGGAAACAAGGATAATATTTTTACGTATATAAACAGTATCATTCCATGTTTTACACTTGTAGTATTGTGTTCTACATTCGGATGATCTATAAGAACGGATCCATGACCAAACCAGGAGTGACACACGAAGTCTTCATATGACAACCACAGCATATTTACTACATTCAACCAATGTCCCATGACTTTCAACCCGTAAAACTGAAAGATGAATTTATTCACAAATTAAAATGCAGCGATGACCTACTCCTATCATTTGAATTTCTACATAATGAACCTTCTGTATTCAACTTGTCAGATACACTGTCGTTTTTTGAGTCAGCGAAAGTATGATTCTCTGGATTGTATGTAATCGCCCAACAATTACAACTCATCCTTGAATAATAATCTGACCCAGTAACCTGGTCGATAAAGCTTTGGCATTTGGGTTCAAGTCCCATTAGGAACAAAATCACTGATTAGGGATGTAGGTACATCTCTATTAAACGAATCCTAAACAGGAGATAAACGCACACCAAGATTAGACTGCCAAGCAGAAAGAAAATAAATATTTCAACACACACACACAACAACACCAACCAGTTACTTACTTCAGAACTATGACTTTTTAACCATAATATATCAGCTAAATCTCGTCCACGTGATTCTCTTAAACCAGCTTCAAATATTTCTGTTTTTTGGATAACATTTAAACGATCAAAATCTGGAGCTAGTCGAAGCATTTCACGATTTTCTTTATTCAATACAACATCAGCTTTTTCACGATAATCCCGTATTAAATTATGAAAAGTATCACTATTTGGCACCCAACCAATTAATCCAGTGTACGTTGATAACGGGATGATAGACATTCGTTGTATACTTTGTATGAAAAGAAAGAAGAAGAAGAAGATAAAATTACTGCGAAAAATACAAGTTCGTATGCGGCAAATACTATAACAATCAAGTTAAAAACAAGCTATACATAAGTGATGAGAGCTGTCTGCTAACCAAAATTGGTAGACAGCAATTTACGTCAATGTTTACGTCCCAAATCATGGTCATGAGATAAAAAAGAACAAAGACTAACACAACAACCAATCACAGCAGACTTTGCGTGGGTGGATACAATTCGCAGATATATGGTCTGACCTTCAAAGAGACGGCCACAAAGAGGATGACAGAATAACCTTCAGCAGGAAAACAACCAATCAGAAGACGTTCTTTCTCTGCTGACAATAATGTACATAAAAATCTATAAATATCTATTGATTTTCTCAATAAACGATCTGCTGCCTGGCCCTTATCTTCTGTCATTACACATATTCACTACAGAGAACAAATACGAACTTCAATGGTTATTGTATGACTTAAAACAATTAATCCCTTTTATAAATTTGGATAGTGTTATTAGCAGAAAATGAAATATTGATGGATACTGTTGTCGAAAAAAGGATATCCTTTAAAATATTTAAACAGGTGTATAAGTCAATTAGTCTTTAAATCTACAATCTATGCCGTCCCTAAGAAAAGCGTTTTCATCAAATTACCAGATAACGGGGGAAATAAACAGTAGGATTTTGAGACAAGGGTTAAATTTGGTTATCCGTAAGACCTATTATGCAACCCGGCTTGTAATTATCGAAAAAAAGATTTTAAAAAATATGCTCCACTGCAAACCTCAAAAGTGCACAAGTGATTATGTCACATCCCAAACTATTTACCAATTTTCGTGTGTGTCTACACAGAGCAGTACATATGTAGTTTGGTCGACAGCCAGAGATGGTATATGTTGATGTATGCCAAACGAGCCTTCTGTATCCATACAGAGATTTCGTCAGAGATCAACCAACTGGTGTTGGCTGCTGCAACTTCCCAGATAAGTGAAGTGGTCAACACACTCTGCCAATTCAATCCTACCTGACTGGTATAGTCCAGTCCTGTAGGAAGCAAGCATCATCTTACAATGGACAGCAGAAGCGAATCGCTTTGCATGCCAAACATTCAAAGATTTCTACTCCTCAAGGTGTTCAGAAGACTGAATTTTGTCAGAGTCTTCACCTTGAAGGGAAATATCATCCTTCTCTTCTAAGCCAACGAGATTGTACCCTGGTAACAAGTCAACCGCTGAGTCTGTGAAGACAGTTAAAATAAGGCTTTCACTTTAAAAAAATTCCAAGTATGATCTCACTTGTCACCGTCTATGTAACAAATTCAATGTGATATTTTACAATGTTGTTTTATAAAAATTCTCATCCTGCTACGTAATATTTTAATTACATACCAATCTTACTAATCCTACACTCCCTTTTAGGATCCATGCATCCAACAAACCAGTACGTAACATACTTCATCGCTTGATATTTAACCATGATTACAATCACAGGCAATTAACCTGGGGTTCTAGTGGGATGCCGTGACCAGTACGGTACAGCAGGTTGAAGGTGAGGCACTAACTCATCGAAAAAGACATTGAGAAATGGTCGCGCTATGTCGCGAATTGACAGAAGTTTGAATTCAAGGACCATTGGATCGGTTCCCAGTGGCTCAGTGGTCTACGAGCTCGCTAGCCTTGTAACCAGAACGTCCTGGGTTCGAACCCCGGCGGATGCGTAGTGCTGGGGCGGAGTCCCAAACTAGGACGAAACAGCTGTCCAGGTGGTTTTTCAGTGGTTCTCTAACTGATGTCAGATCATGATGAAACCCTCCATGCAAATCAAACAAAATCCCTACAAAACCAATACACAAATATTTTGTCGCCAACCACATTATTATTTGTCTGAATCACTTTACTTTTCCATATATAAACAATGAGTGAGTTATGCACTGTCATTAAATAAACCCTATTGTTTTCATTATGCCATAATGAGCTTGGTGTAGAACTGTATTCTTCCCTAAGACTTCATCGTCTCTCTGAAGAAAACATCTTCAGACCAAACTTCAAAAGTGAAATAAGCTTTTAGAATTGTCCACTAGTGTAAACAACCTTCTCTCCCCTAAGTAACGATCTTGAACTCAATCACATTCACAGTCGTCAAAGGAAATAGGCAAAATTATCTACCTCACACTCATGGATAATTGCAAAAGATACTGTTTCATCATATGACAGTCAAAGCTTCAGTAATTAAGGAAACAACAGTGCATGAAAGAAAGCCACAACAACAACCACCACCTGAGGCATAAATAATTTCCATCATATAATAATAGTAAACTTAGAAATCAATGCAGATGAATGTGATCATCATCTTACGTTAGATTACGACGTAGAGTTTCTGGATTATTGATTAGTAGAGTATTTACAAGACCGAAAAATTGCATTACACGTTCATCTTGACGTGTATCTTCATGTCCTTTTAATAAAAATACATACTGATGCCCATCAGAGCCTGAAAAAGAAAACAAAAAAAAACACATGAGAAAACAACGCGTCCAATAAATTTCTAGAAGAATAATGAAATAGATTAACTTACATAAAGCAATAGGAAGGAAGACGTAATTTTTCTGAATCGTGTAATGTGTTTGCGTGCACAACACATTGCGAACAATCTGATCCATCACACACGGACTTGTCATAGGAGTACATACATATGAAATTAATAAAGAGTTAAGAGGTGAGGAAATAGTCTGCTTAGGTCAAGTTTAAAGGACATATTGAAGGTCAAAAAAAGTGACGATCACTAATTCAAATAAGAGGTAATAGTATATCTACGCCAGCTAGTATCAAAACAAAGTTTACCAATGAAGGTTTATTAACATAAGTTGTGTGAGTAACTTGGTATGATTATGAGCAATAATTTGTGCTCGAAACATCATCAGTTAATATTATTGTGCAACACTGTGTGATTTATCAAAATAAAATCTTATCCATAATGAAGGTTTATTAGTGTGATGACGAATTGTTGCTTTGAATGCATAAAGCTGGTCTAAACTTCCTAATTGCCAGCTAGGGCTTCCACAAACTTTAGGATACGCCCGAAACACGTTTTATAGATAGGCTTAAAAGATGTGTAAACATCAATTTTATGTGCTGTCTCTGTAATATGTTTCGCAGTAGAGGAGCTAAGTCTCCTGTTCTCACCATTAATGGGTTCTGAAGATTCCATTTGTTTTTGGAGCCATTGAGGAATATGCTCTGAAACGTGTTTGGGGCGTATCCAAAAGTTTATGGAAGCCCTAGCAATTAGAAAGTTCAAAACCACCTTTATGCGTTCAAAGACAATTGGTCATCACACTAAACCTTCCTTGGTAAACTTTGTTTTGATACCATAGCAGATGTGCTAATACCTCTGTTATTTGGTTTAGTGGTCTTCATTGTTACTCTGACCTTGAATATGTCCTTTAAACTTGACCTAAGCAGACAATTTTCTCACCTCTTAACTCTTTATTAATTTCATATGTATGTACTCCTATGACAAGTCCGTGTGTGATGGATCAGATTGTTCGCAATGTGTTGTGCACGCAAACACATTACACGATTCAGACAAATTACATCTTCTTATGGCTTTATCTAAATTCATAAAGGGAACTAACTGTTTTAAATTAACTTAGCGAAATTAGGAGAAAATAATGCCACTTTGAGTAGAATGAGATAAAGTGAGTAACAAAATTAGTTGAAGGATTTCATCATAAGCTGACGTCAGTTAGAGGAACATTGGAAAACCAGCTGGGAGTACTGGACAGACAGCTGTTTCGTCCTAGCTCGAACCCCTGTGGTGGGTGCGTACTGATGAAGAGTCCAAAACTAGACTGACGAAACAGCTCGCTATGCAGTACTCCATGTGGCTGGTTTTCCAATGGTTCTCTAATTGATTTCAGCTCATGATGAAAATTATCAATTATCAGAAAAGTTCACTTCTCAGGTTTCCCGAAGCAATCTTTTTCAAACACCTTATAGCCGATTTATGTGCACAGAAAAAAAGCAGTTATTAGTATTTGATTGACCTGGTAACTGGATGTCTTTATTTTCTCTTTCCTTTGATTACGTAATCTTCGGTTTTAACCTCACACACCAACTTTGATATAGTGTAATTTTGCTTGTCTCTTGTTCCTATGATTTGAGTTGAACTCAGTACATTATCACCCAATTTATTAATTACTCATAATCTTACGCATCTCTCGTCTCTTCTACGTGACTTCTTTACCATTTTATGCATACATTTACTTTGTTTACGCGGATGTCTTTATTCTCTCTTTCCTTTGATTGCGTAATCTTCGGTTGTAACCTCACTCTTACTCCTACTTCGATACAGTGTAATTTTGCTTGTCTCTTGTTTCTTTGATTTGAGTTGAACTCGGTACATTGTCACCTAATTTATAAGCATCTCTCGTCTCTACTACGTGACTTCTTTACCATTCTATGCATGTATTTACTTTGTTTAAACTTGAACTGCCTGTGTAACAACTATATAAACGTAATTTTTTGAGCACTGTTCACTAAGTTCGGAACCTCCTACCAACTGACATCATGTGAAATTTGCAAGTATGTTAAAATTGTTTCTGTACATAAACTTAGTAATTTATTTAGGCTGTAAGCAAGCAGCTGATGAGAAACCAACGAAATAAACAAAGGATGGTATCATCTTGTATTAGGTAAAAACCACCACTGTTGTTTTGTCATGGTTGTTTAGAATAAGCTCATCAGAGTTTCATCCAATTTGACTGAGAACAGATAGTCAGGTCAGTTCAAACCAACCTAATTCTGCTATCGGAGAGACAGTTTAGTCGTATGCTTATGTCACACAGTACACCCAGAGTATTCAGTATTAATTGTGTTCTCTGAGAAGCTGGTTGGTTTAACTGTGAAGCTTTCGTCGTCCTTCTGGACAACATCTTCAGCGCAAGTTTTAGCATGAAATGAACTGATTTGAATTCTCCATAAATGATAGAATTGTGCATCCTAGCAACCATCTTCGTGACTGGTAGTCAATTTACATCTGTAATGATCATTTTTTATTGACTTGGAATTTGAACTTTCTTGTCATGTAATGATTTAATTTTTATTGGCTGGTGGTAAATTTGGTTTATAGTTATTAGTGTGTTTGTTAATCGCTGGCTGATTCACTCGTGTACCAGGCCTCTGGAAATTCCCTGGCATTACTGTCTGGTGTTTCCTCTAATTTAAAATTTCGACATTATCCCAATCACCGAATTGGTGTCCATAATTATCTACATGCATTGATATGAAAGAATATATGTACATCATGCCTTTTTACAGCTAATTTGTGTTCTTAGAATCGGATTCGAAGGGGACGTCCACTTTGACCACTGATGTAATGCTTATTGCAGTTCATACATGCAATTTATTTTGTAAATGGCATTAATTTCGTCTTCTTTTTCCGCTGGATCTCTTGGTTTGCACAATATCGATGAATGAAGTGATTGTGTTGGTTGGCTGGCTGGCGTGTGTGCTATATCTATTTCACCTGATGAGACCTAACCTGAATTTGATAAATTCATAAAATCCTGCTTTATATTTACATTTATCGCTTGTTCCAATCGCCTGCTAGGAAATAAATGTTTTCTATAGTTTGGTTTGTAAGGATTAGTTATGTTTTACGAGTTGATCACGGACTGATATCAGTTAGAGAACCATTGAAAACCAGGGAGTACTGGACAGTTGCTGTTTCATCCTAGTTTAGGAATCATCGGCAGTACGCACCCACCGCCAGGGTTCGAATCCAGGACCTTCTGGTTACAAGGCAAGCTCGTATACCATTCAGCCACTGGGACCCGATTCAATGGCTCATGAATTCTAACTTCTACCAATTCGTGATTTTAGCGCGACCCCAACTATCAGTCCGTGATCAACTCGTAAAACATAACTAATCCTTACAAACCAAACTATAGAAAATTATTCTGATGCTCGCTAGTGACTTGCTACAGGTTGGAGCTTCCTGCAGTTCTAGTGAGAAGTCGTGACCAGTGAGGTCCAATTAGAAGTCACGTGTGGATGGATTTCCACCAACGACAATAGTTGGGGTCGCGCTGAAATCACGAATTGGTAGAAGTTAGAATTCATGAGCCATTGAATCGGGTCCCAGTGGCTGAATGGTATACGAGCTTGCCTTGTAACCAGAAGGTCCCGGGTTCGAATCCCAGTGGGTGCGTACTGCCGATGATTCCCAAACTAGGATGAAACAGCAGCTGTCCAGTACTCCCTGGTTTTCAATGGTTCTCTAACTGATATCAGTCCGTGATCAACTCGTAAAAAATAAATGTTTCTAATTAAAGTGTTGGCCGAAATAGATGAAACGTAGTAAGCCATTGCGAAACGATAATACACACTGTAACAACAGAAGCCGAGACACAGGAGTCAAGGTATATTTTTCATTAATCAAACCGCTGTTTATATATCTGCAGTTTATATTCGTTAAACAATCCTGAGCGTGTGATTTTGGTTTACATCAAGCAACATGAAATAGAATGTTCAAACAGATATACTGTATGCAGTATTGACCTGTGGGGGAATATGTGAGCATAACATTCCGTTCGCACACATTGTCTGTATCACACCACCACAACACTACTTGATTGATAAAAGCAGTTAGAGATTAGTATCAAGGCAGGAAGATTCTGGTGATTTAAGGCAGTTAAACATCAGTTACTCTTATTATAATAGGTCGAACGAATTAACTGATAGGCGCTAATGGATGTCGTGATTGGTAAACTAACTACTATTCATCTCAGTCAGTGGTGTGTATACTGCACTATAACACTGTGCTTGATTTCTTGTTCACCGTTTATCGTATTAATCTGGACATATATTACGATATGAATATTTTGGGCTTCTCAGGGAAATTCTGATGACATTCTCACATGGATCATTGTAATTTTCCATAGGATGAACTTTATTGACATGATGCGAACGACAACAAATCACAAACTTAACATACGGTTCAAAAAAAGCATCACAGATGGTTGATGGAATCAATCGGTAATGAGAAGATTAACCATTTTACTATGGGAGTTAGGAATTGAATATTGATATGGTAGGATGGTAGGAGGCAATCAGCAGGAAGTTTTTTTGTCAGGAGCTAGGTTTCGTGCTACGTGGCACTTACCAGCAAGGTGTGTCTGCAACCTTGAAGAAACTCATGACCCTTCTGAGATTCGAACCGGTGTAACCCAGTGCCGTATGTAGTCAAAGACGTTACCACTGAGCAGCTATCAGGGCTCGCAATTGACCTCCTGTAGCACAGTATTGAATACTTTGATTGGAAAGTAATTAGTAACTAGTGTAGTGTGTGAGTGGTAACGTCTCTGACTGCAGGCGGTACTGGGTGACGTGGGTCCCAGTTTCAGAATGGACATGAGTTCCTTCAGGGTTGCAAATACGCCACCTTGCTGACCAATGGTGAGTGCCAACTAGCACGAAACCCTATGTCTTCCAAGTCTCCATGTGACTGACTGCCTGCAACCATCCCTAATATCAAAAATTCAAAGTGCACCATAATGACAAGCCACCTACTGGCATAGTGGGAGTGAGCACATTGCAAACTTGACTGATAGAAATCAATCCGCACCAAACAAAGGAATAGACGCACATTACACTAGTTACTGACTAGTATCATCCAATCAAGTTATACTAACAATTCTGCTATAAATAATTTCAAATTTACTTTCAAAGTGTTGCATTTATGAGTATTCGATTGAACTTAGGGAAACTCTGATGACATTCTCACATGGAAGATTGTAATTTTCCATAGGATGAAATTTATTGACACGATGCGAACGATAAAAAATCACAAACTTAACAAACGATTCAGAAATAACACAGATTGTTGGTGGAGTCAATCAGTAGTGAAGGCTAACCATTTATTTATCATAGGAGTTAGGAATTGAATATTTCTGGTAAAAGATTGAGAGATCAGTAGAAGAATGAGAAATATTAAGTTTCCTAGAGATACTATCAATTGATATTAGATGGTTGGAGGCGATCGGCCACAGGAAGCCTTGGAAGACATAAGGTTTCGTGCTAGTTGGCACTCACCAGTCAGCAAGGCGGTGTATCTGCAACCTTCAAGGAACTCTCATATCTCTTCTGAGATTCGAACCCGCATCACCCAGTGCCGCCTGCAGTCAAAGACGTTACCAATGAGCTATTCGAACTCAACTCTGACCTCATGTAGCGCTATACTGGATACTTTGATTGGACACTAGTTGGTAAAACTATTCTAGTCTTTTATTTAGTGGAGACTGAATTCTCTCAGTCAAGTTTGCAATGTGGCCATCATTCTAGGTGGCTCGCCATCACGGTGCACTTTGCATTGTTGATATTAGTTTCCAATCAAAGTATTTAATACAGTCCTACAGGAAGTCAGTCGCGAGCCCGAATAACTGCTCAGTGGTAATGTATCTGATTGCAAGAGGCACAGGGTGCTGACGCGGTTCCCAATATCTCAAGAGGGACATGAGTTCCTTCAGTGGGATTGCAGATACGCCGCCTTGCTGACCACTGGTGAGTGCCAACTAGCACGAAACCCTATGTCTTCCAAGGCTTCCTCCGGCCGATTGCCTCCAACCATCCCTAAAATCAACAATTCAAAGTGCACCATGATGGCGAGACACCTAGTGGTATGGTGGCAGCCACATTGCAAACTTGACTGATAGAATTCAGTCTGCACCAAATGAAAGGACTAGACGCACATTACACTAGTTACTAACTAGTATCCAATCAAGTTATACTAACAATTCTGGTATAAATAATTTCGATTTAAATTTTCAAGTATTGGTTTTGTAGGGATTTTGTTTGATTGCATGGAGGGTTTTATCATGAGCTGACATCAGTTAGAGAACCATTGGAAAACCTGGGAGTACTGGACAGCTGTTTCTGTAGTTCTAGTTTGGGACTCTTCATCAGTACGCACCCACCACAGGGGGTTCGAACCCAGGGCCTCCTGGTTACAAGGCGAGCTCGTAGACCATTGAGCCACTGGGAACCGATCCAATGGTCCTTGAATTCAAACTTCTGTCAATTCGCGACATAGCGCGACCATTTCGCAATGTCTTCTTCGATGAGTTACTGCCTCATTTTCAACCTGCTGTACCCTACTGGTCACGGCTTCCCACTATTTACTTTCAAATACTGCATTTATGAGTATTTGATTGAACTCGTGGTGGACTTCATCATGAACCAACTGAAAACCACGGTGTACTGGACAGCTACTACTATTCTCCGAGTTTTGAAGGCTTTTCATCGGAGTAGTTGGACCCAGGACCTTCAGGCTATAAGATCATCAAGTCTGTTGACCATTCAGACATTGGGTGATGAACTCAAACTTCTAAAAACGGTTATTAGGGGGGGGGGGGTGTTTACTAACTTGATGATGTCGCGCATAGGGAATTCTTTAACACAAATACACACAGTTTGGGAAACAAAAGAAGAAGAAGAAAAACAAACAAACATCAACATACCCATGATTGTAAGTTTACGTGGACGTTGTTTTGATGTAATGAAATTCAAGCAATTTTTAATACTTGAAATACGCACTAATGGACGATATGGTTCATAAGTGCCTGGGACAGCTAACTGCCAATCTTGTCCATAATCACGAAGACGAGGAGAGGCTACGGTTAATTCTAAGGTAGTCATATTATTGACTTGTTTAGAAAACTGAAAATAAAAGAAAAAAAAGAAAACAAGTGTGAGAAAGCAGAAGATGAATAAAAGACTAATACAACAATTGAATGACAATCAATAATATTTCATATTTTACATGAATCACATAATAGTGTGTAATCCCACCTAGTTGACTAACCAGTCCCATGCCAGGGTAAAGAGGGAGGGTTGGTTGGGCATGAGACTAGTGACCCCAGCCCGGAAACCAATTAAACTGATACAGAAACTTAAACGCACCATCAAAATATTCAAAATACAAACATATAAAAAACAAAATTATTCTTCGCTGGAATCGGAAAGGCGAAATGATATAGCAGGCTGTCTGTCTGTCTGTCTGGATTCAACATAGAACTTGGCACCGAAGTGCAGCAGTTCCAGTTGCCACGTTCCAAATAGCATACAAAAAATAGACAAGAAAAATGAGTGAAGAGAATCAATAGAGTTTTGACAAGTATAAGAGTGAAACAGAATGAGTAATGGTAGAAAGAAATATGAAAGATTACCCAAGAGACTGAATACATCTGCGTAAACCATTGACAACGATTTTGAGCCATGTCACCTATTGTCTCCAGCCATTGATTCTTAGAGGTCTGAGGGCTCCAACCCGGAAGTCTGCATCTCCCTACCTGACTCAGTTTAACTGTCAAGGATTTCATGGACTGATGAGGCCATGTTTTTGTTTGGCATGGCACCACTTACTCTTTTCCAACCTGTACCTATATCAGCTAGTAATGCCCGTCCGTCGGGGGAGGCGATGGTTAGGCATGCGCAACACGTGATCTAGCCATCTCAATCTATGTAACTTTATGGCCTCTTCGATTGATTTTCCCTCTTTGCCCAACACTCTACGCCTAACGTCAACATTACTTACCTTATTATACCACCTAACGTGAGAAAGAGGTCGTAGACATCTATGATCAAAAACAGTCAACCTTTTCATGTCTTCAACTCGTATTGGCCATGTTTCAGAGCCATAGAGAAGGACGGAGCGAACTGCTGACAAGTACACACGTCCCTTGGTTGATAGCCGGATGTCACGCCTACGCCAGAGACGGTGTAAGTTAGCGAAAGCAGCCCGAGCTTTCTGGATCCGTGCTGTGATTTCGTCACCAATCAATCCGTTGGTGCTGATACAACTTCCCAAATAGGTGAAGTGGTCAACATGTTCTATCACTTAACTCCCTATCACTAAGCTAGGAGTTGACATAGTCCAGTCAGTCCTGTAGCAGCATCTTACATTTTACAGGGGCGAATCGCATGCCAGGCTGGTGAAAGCCAGCCTCCGGGAAGCCAGTCAACCAGCCGGCCGATGTGTCTTCTTTCAAGGAAAGCTAAAATAAGAATGGGGAAGCGAAAAATCCATACGATGTATGAGACTGGTTGGGAAGGCTGTCTAGGTAGCCTAAGAAATGCGAAGATATGGGATAGAAGTGCTGGGTATCTTGCCAGAGCAGATGAACTGGATGTGGATTATCAAGATTGTCAACTGTTTCATCATAGTAAAGCCAGTTTGGAAATCTTCTGCACTCAGCCAACATAAACAACAAGATTCGAATTTTCAACACACAAATGTTAAGTCAGCCAGTCAATTCTTCTATATGGGTAAGAAACATGACGGGAGCATCACGAACAGCTATCCCAACACCCTGCTGCAGACTTTCACCAACAGCTACCTCCTTCGATGACTCCATACTGAAGATCAAATGGCAGGCGGGCAACAAACTAACCATGAACCTATCGTTCAACAAGTATGTAGGAGAAAATGGAGATGGATCGGGCATACATTAAAGGGATCGTCACATGATGTCGCACGCCAGGCCATCGCTCTAGTAGAATCCCAATGGAAAACGACGAGTGTATCGTCAGTGCGAGGTTGACATGGAGATCGTGTGGTTAGAAGGAGCAGATGAGAGATTACGGTCAACCTTGGATCCAGCTGAAGACGACGGCAGAAAATAGAAAAAGTGGAAATGTGTTGTTGAAGCCCTGTGTTCCACTCGGAACCCAAGGGAATCATTGTAATAGTGATATAATAATACAATGGTATGTATGGAATTAGTATTCAAAATTAAATTGCAAAGGCCTCCGCTGTCTTTAGAAGTCTGTAACGAAGAAAACGAGGCCGGCAAGTTAGCATGGATTCGGTAGATGATCTTAAAATCATGGTCAGGGTTGGCAGAGTGACAGGAGTCGATCAGGTGTTCTAGAATAGAGCCCCACACACACATTTCCTTTCTCCTCTGTAAAATCATGCTGGAATATGTTCTCGTATCCGTGTGGAAAGCGTCTTCTGGCTACGGCCAATATACCTTGGCAATTCATGACTTTAAGCCAGACCTTTGTGTACAAAAGAAGTAGGTACAATCCCTACTTCTGTCTTGGTCGTAGAGGGAAAGACATTTATTTATTTACTTTGTTTATTTAGTTATTCTATGTACCTTCCCCTTATTACTACGATTATTATTATTACTATACTCACTCTGAATTGTTTCCACTTGTCCCACTTGTCATTCCAAATCCAAAATTATTATTTTTAATTTTTACAATATTGAATTCCATTTTAACAAATTTCACACCATGTTATGTAACGTTTTATATTCGTCTACTAATCCTATAATTATGCACCCCTTTCCGACATCTATACACCTTACGTATTATTCTATAAATGACATTAATTGTTTTGTTACTTGACATTTAACTGTGATTATAATCACAAATATTTTAATTGCATTTCATACTACTATTATTATTTCATGTGTTCACACTTTTGATCTAATTCCCTCACCGGATATAATTTTCTTTAAAAAAAAACCATATATATATATATATATATAATTGTACAGCTTGATAATAAATTCGTTGTTGAAAAGAGTCTCTTCGCAGAATATTGTGCTTTTAATTTGGAATTGCCTACTACCACAGTGTCCATGTTTTACACATATATTCATTAAGCTTGAATACTTCTGTGGTGAATTAAGTTATTGATTAGTTGACTGACTACCAATTACAGGATACCAGTTTACCAGAGTGACACCCACGCGCACATGCAGCCAATCTAGTCATCATTCCCTGATTGATTGGGTAGATTTCTGTTTGTTGACATCTGAGCCAATCAGGCTGATTATGCCTTCATCCACAACCGAGAATATTTTGTGCACAAATCAGATATCAAAATTACGAAAAAAACAGTTCAATCAAAAAAACAACTTACACGTCTATACAGGGTATAATAACCTTCCCATGCTTTTTGTAAATCAATTTTTGCCTGAGATTTTTCAAAATGTTCACAGCATAAACGACATTCAGCAAGATCATTACCGTGTTCTTGTAGAAATGTTGCCTCATGAATTGTTTCATGCCCACGATCCATCATTTGATGCAGTGGATGAAGTAGACGGAACATTTTTGCGATATCTTTTTCAACAAAATAAACACGACTTGCATCTTCTAGAGATTCAGACCACATTTCAACCCATGTAATGGATAAACGTATTAGTTCTTCATTTAACTGTTAGGAGGGAATGGTGAGAGAGAGAGAAAGATGGAGAAATATTTCATTATTCACCAAAAGTGTCGAAAATTCCGCGACAAAATCAGTGTTAATAAGACTGTAATTCACACAGGAGACGTTAAAAAGATAATGAAATTGTATTACAACTTATGAGAAGTAAGTGTGGCCAAGAATCTGATTAACAGAGCCAAACGTCTAGTTACTGAGGAGAAAGAGATCAGCAAGGAACTAATATTTAAAATGTGAAGATAAGGATGGATCGAAACCTGTTGCTAAGACTTGGGTTAGTACAGCGATGATTCCTTACCGTAAAGAAACATCAGATGATATAAAGCGAATCCTTAACAATCATGACATAAGAGTGTATTTTCGTGCAACTAACACCTTACGCTCATCATTGGTGAAGGTTAAGGATAAAATAGAAGAAGACAACCAACATAATTGTATGTACCTGATCACTTGTGGAGACTGTGACGCCATATATGCAGGAGAAACTTCCAGACGGGTGAATATAAGAGTGAAAGAGCATAAACAATGCCTAAAGGTGGTTGTCAGACTTGAAGGAGCTAGAAAACAGATCGGCGATTCAACCGGACTCGATAGAAACGGGACACAAGACCGACTTTGATAGGACCAAGATTCTACAGAGAGGTTTTGGTCGGTATAAAGAAAGACTGAATGAAGAAGACCAGAAGTTTGAAGAGACGTGAAGGTGTGATGTTAGCTGATCCATGGCTAGTCCTGATTAATAAATAAAAATGGATTTGTATCACTAATCAGTCACACTTGTTTTAAATTCCCGATTGTCTATATCATCCTATGGAGAGGCTAGTAAATGATTCACAATTGTTGACGAGTGTACACACATCATTGTATACCGCATATACATATATAATATAAAATTTTTTCATATTCAGTTATCTAAGACCATGAACTTTAGTCGAAAGTAATTACTAAAACTCTGATGCAAAAGTACACACTGTTTACAGTGTTTAACAAAAGTAGATTAATATATGTAATTTTTAAGCGTTGTTTTGTAAGGATTTGATTTGTTTTTCGATTTGACCACGGATTGATATCAGTTAGAGAACCATTGAAAGCCAGGGAGTACTGGACAGCTGTTTCGTCATAATTTGGGACTCATCGGCAGTACGCACCCACACCAGGGGATTCGAACCCAGGACCTTCCGGTTACAAGGCAAGCTCGTATACCATTCAGCCACTGGGACCAATTCGTGATTTAGCCAGACCACCAACCAATGTCATCAGTTGGAAATCCATCCTCACACTTGACTGGATAGAATTCATGGACCATTGAATCGGGTCCCAGTGGCTAAATGGTATACGAGCTTACCTTGTAACCGGAAGGTACTGGGTTCGAACCCATGGGTGCGTACTGCCGATGAGTCCCAAATTAGGCTGAAGAACAGCTGTCCAGTACTCCCTGGCTTTCAGTGGTTCTCTAACTGATATCAATCCGTGGTCAAACTCGAAGATATATATATATATAAACGCAAGTGCTGTTTGTACAAGACAATAAAAGCTGTCCACGTCAACGGTCAGACTTCTCTTCTTGTCTTCTTACGTCGAGTTTTCGATGGTATCGCATCGTATCGTGTTGTTGTAGCTAATATTGGTTAAAACAATAGACTAGCGAATCGACTAGGTAGAAAATTCGTTAACACAACCATAAATGTGTATAAACGGTCATATCATTTTCATTATGGTTGCATATAATTTGAAAACTTAAAAAGATACTATTAATATGACTGACAATAGCAACCAACATTAACACCGTTTTATTTTATTTTCAATATGCTGACAAATGATATATAATTGTTCACCTACACACACGCACACACATTATTGTATATCATAGATACATTTTGTGATTCACATTTCCATACATAGCATCAGGTAACCAAGACCTTTCGCTGGAACATTTTCATCAAGGTCTGATATGAAAATGCAAATACTGATTACATTGTGTATCACAAACTTGTCTAATAATAAGTTAGTGGAACTATCCGAAAAGCTGATAATCTCACCACCTAACACCCACGCAGTTGCCCATATCGACATAGGCGGAGAAAGATTTAAACCCATTAAACCAATTAACCGAAAACCCAATGGTTAAACCAATGAACTACGAGTTTCAAATCCAACTTTAAGTTGCTAAATGGACATGACAGTCTTGTTGGATAATTTCTAAACCTAAAGAATTAATCACAATTTGTTGTTTTATGATGATGACGATGGCGATTAGTGAACCATTGGCTTGAACACTCGAATTTCAGCCAATGTATTCCGGGGTGGAATAACACTCCACCTACTTCAGCTTAGGCGGCTGGGTAACATTACCAGCCTTCACACCATAACTGTATGACTTATAGCCCCCGGACGAACTGAGTACTAACAACAGTTTCATGATTGATGCAGTGTAATTTTATTTGTGTCGGAGTAGAGCAGTCATCCTTACAGTCTTCTGTTATTTTATTTGTTAGTCAGTGAGGTAGAAAGTGCTGTGGGGGGAGTAGTTGCACTGTGTTCAGTATCGTCGTACCTATGTGTCTTAGCCGACTTTATTACATTACAAACATGAACACTATACACTCTACAATGGATATACGTGTAACAAATATTATCTGAAAATCGGCAAGTAAGAAGGATACATCTAAACTGTATTGTTAAAACGCCTTTCATCATCACTATCTAAAATCTCAAGCACACCAGACAAGTAATTGACACGAATATATATATGCATTACACCAAAACATGTTTTTCTTGGAAATCATGAGTAATACTCAGTACAATTCTATAATGGAAAGCTGTAATACTGTGTTGAGAGCTGGCTGCTAGCCAAAGTTGGTAGACAGTAATTTACGCTAATGTTTATGTCCCCAATATTTGTGGTGAGGAAATGAGAACAAAGGATTTGCGTAGGCGGATACAGTTAGCATATGGATGATCTGACACAGCCACAAAGAGATGCAAGGTTAACTTTCTGTGAGAAACAACCAATCAGAAGATTGTGTTTTTCTGCTAACAATAATCTACAATAATGTACATTAAAATCTATAATAAACGATCTGTTGCCTGGCCCTTGTCTTCTGTTGTTACAATACTACTACTATGGTGACAGCTGGTGGCAAGCCAAAAATTGTAAACAGCAATTTACGTCAATGTTTGCGTCCAGAATCGGGGTCTTGAGAAAAACAATAACAGAGCTTAACCTTGAGGAACTCACCAACCAATCATAGCAGACTTAACGTGTGCAAATACGATTCGTAGATATATGGCTTAACTTTCTAAGAAACGGTCACAAGCAGTACAGAGTAATAACCTTCAGCAAGAAAACAACCAATCAGAAGACGTTGCTTCTCCGCTGACAATAATGTACATAAAAATCTATAAATATCTATTGATTTTCTCAATAAACGATCTGTTGCCTGGTCCTTGTCTCTTCTATCGTTACACTACTACTACTAGTAATAATAATAATAAGCATTGTACTTACCAAAAATGCTTCTGATAGTAAGCGTGAATTTTGTTCCTCCATACTGTACAATATACGATTAGCATTATATCGTCGACGATCTGATCCACCAGACTTGAATGACAAGACTAATGGATAAACCATTGACTGAGGATATCGTCTACCAACAGAGATTAACAAATCAACAATAATATTGGCAACATATTCTATCGGTGTATCAATACGCGCCAGCAATTGTTGTATAACAAGTAACCAATTATCTAGTCGAATTTTTGTTAAACCTTCACGGATTACTTCACGTATTTCAAATAAATGACCAAATTTAAACAATAGATTGATTAAACGTAAACTATCCTGTAAAAAGACAGAGAGAGAAAAAAGAAAATGCTGAGGTGTGAAAAAAAATGAAGAGTAAGTTCACTATTTTAGATATGTATATGCATTGAACAGGAATGTAGAGTCTTCTGAACACCTTGAGGAGCTGCAATTTGCGAATGTTTGGCATGCGATTCGCTCCCGCCAAATGTAACATTGTGCTACAGGACTGAACTGGACTACATTGACTTTTAGCTTAGAAATAGGGAGTGGAGTGGTAGATCGTGTTGACTACTTCACTTATTTGGGAAGTTGCATCAGCCAGCGCCTCAGCGGGTTGATCGCTGACGAAATCTCAGCACGGATACAGAAGGCCAGTTTACGCCATCTCTGGTGTAGACGTGATATCCGGCTATCAACCAAAAGACGTGTGTAATGCTCAGCAGTCTGATCCGTCCTCCTATATGGCTATGAGAACCGGCAATTGAGAGTGGAAGACATGAAAAGCCTCTGGTTAGCTGTCTCTTTTTATCATAGGTGTCTGCGTTCTATCCTCCCGTGTGTGTTAGGTGGTGGTACATTAGGGTGAGCAATATTGAGGTGAGGCATCGTTGGTTGAGTGCTAGGTAGGTGGGAGGGGAAATCAGTCGAAGAGGTACTAAAGTTACACCGATTCAGATGATTAGGACATGTATTTCACATGCCTAGGCTAGCCATCCATCGCCTCCCTCGATGACGGGCAATGTTAGCTGACTGATATAGGATGGATCAGGTCGGAAAAGAACCAGTGGTGGTCAAACCAAAACATGGCTTCATCAGTCAATGAAATCCACAATAGTTAGTTTAATCTAGTCACATAGGGAGGTGTAGACTTCTTTACTCGTTGGGGTCCTTGAGGTAGTAAAAACCAATGAAGGCTGGAGACAATTGGTGATATGGCTCAAAATCGTTCTCAATGGCTGACGCAGATGCATCCACTCCTTGTGACTTATAATACCCAATAAAACTATATTGTTCTTCTATATTACTATTCCTTTTGCCTCATATCATTGAAAATTGTCTTGAGGGTAAACACATGACGTTATATGTGAGTCGGTAAATCCAGCGCAGACTGAGAATGCAATCAATATCATCACTTCGCCTGCTAGGGATGTAGTTTGTGGATTCCATATAGGACGAAACGTGTCTCCTGGATTTCAATGCTAGCAACCATCAACCATATACAAGCCAGTGTTTTACGGTACAATGCTTTGCAGATTCACGCTAAACTCAGCAAAGATTTAATATGCGCTTCACAATCTAGGTTCCATCATCAGCACTGTTTGACGGTCAACACACGGTCAACTCCACAAGTAATCCCTGTGGAATATCAAAAGTTTTTACGACACGAGACATACTGCTGACTGACTACTGACTGATAAGGACAGTTGGAAACCGCTGTCATCAAGCAACAGAACTTGCTAGGATAAATCAAGGTAATTTTAAACTGTTGTACGACTATATTGGATATTAACTAGTGTAATGTGTCTAGTCCTTTGTTTGGTGCAGCCCCAAAGATACCAACAGCTCCTAAAAAGGCCTTATTTTTACAAATTCAGTTCCTCAGGGATAACATCAGCGAGATATATTAACACACAAAGTCTTAGGAATGCGGCACAAAGAGCATTCTCTGCTGCTGAATTACGCTGTATCTTCAAAACCACCCCTATTTTGCGTTCGGGAGTAAAAGATAAACTGCCTAATTTCGCCTCTTCTATGTGTATCTACCAATTTGACTGCTCCTGTGGAGTGAGCCAGTTACTTCCATATGCCTTACAATTAGGCGTTTTTCCAGACATCACCCTGCGTGTTTAAGTAAAGGACAAACAAAATCCATTCGTAGCTCTATTCTATCTCATCTTGTGGATACAGAACACAAGATTGATGTCAACGAGGCAGCTTTCAAAGTCATTTACCACATACCAACAAATCTTAATTTCGCCTTCACAGTTCGTTAACTTAATATTGCTGAGGCTGACTGTTGGGATCCACATTAAGAAGCCTAATTTATGTGTCCAAAAGAAGCTAGTTCAGACATTATCCTCACCTTGGTCATCTAGGTTCGAATGATCCTCAATTATTGTGGAATTTTACTAATTTTAGTTGATATACTATTTGCTATTATATTTGTATTTACTATAATTATCATTTATGCATCTTTAATGTACTGTGGTAATTCCATTGTGATCTTACTTTACAAATGGATATTATTTAGACAAAATCACGAATATTGTTAATGACGCCTATTCTAGAATATTCTATGAATATAAACATATATATAGTTGTAGAGCCAGAAAAGAAAATTATCGGAAAGGATATTCTTTGCTCAATTATTTTAATTTTTTTTATAGATGTCTGAATTTTATCGGTCAACTTTGCAATGTGGCCACCACAGAGTGTAGTTAGCTCGCCATCACAGTGCACTCAGAATTGTCCACTGATAGAACTCAGTCTACCCCAAACAGAAAACTAAACGCATAACACTATTTAGTCAGTGTATCCAATGAAAATTCCACGCCTGTTTTTAGTAAATCGCAAAAAATCTTGTTATTTTCACGTTGATGTAACACAGGTGTGAAACGAGACCCTACCTGTAGGTTAGCTGTTGGTGATAAACTGATAGAATTCACAAAACCTCGAACAGATGGAGCAGCATGCAACTCCATACATCGTTGTAAATCAGCTTTTGCACGAACCAACTCTGCTATTGGTTGGTGTTA